TGAAACTGAAGTGTCGAAGTTTTTGCTAGGACTTGGTGCTACTAAAACAACTGAAACTCAGCCGAGCCTATTCAAAATCTGTGTTTCATTATTAATCAATCATCATTATAGTCAAGAACTAAACCCTCAAGTTACTACCATCCAACGATCTAATCTAGATTTGATTCGACTTTTTGCCCTTATTCCTTTCCGGCGCCATGACACACATCTTTTCGGGCCCAGTGGCAAAGAATCCCGCACAAAATCAGGAAGCACATCTCAAAGTATCGTTCCCCGGTCTCTTTCCTCATACTATGGGTCCCTATTCCGATCCGTGCCTCAGTTGTGGGGCTATACACTGGAAATGCGAGCGCACTGGTATTGATAAAAAAGCCCCCCGAGCTTCATATTCAATGTGTTGCCAGAAAGGCCAGATTTCGATTCCCGTGACTTATAGCGGTGCAAACTATCCCCAATTTTTAAAGAATCTCTTGATTTCGACTGATTCCGGTGTGTAGTCTCCTCTTACTCTGATGTTCTATGTAAGCTGACTCCTATTCTCAGTATCGACCAAATTCCAGAGGCAGATTAGAAGCTACAACAACGCGCTGTCTTTTGCGTCTTTAGGAGCAACCATCGATGATGAGGTACAAGGACAGAAAGGCGTTTACACTTTCAAGATTGGGGGAGCATTATATCACAATTTACCTGAAGAAGTACCCACATCAAAAGTAGAAGCGAAGTTCGCCCAAATTTATGTTATCGGAGGAAACGATGCCAAGGAAGCGGCGATGCGGAAACATAAATGTGGAGTCAATGTCGATGCCAAGATTTTGCTTCAGCTTCAACTTTGGATCAGCAAAAACAACTCATATGCGCAATTCTATCGGACAATTAATCAAGAATTAGCTACAAACCCAGCTGCAACTTTTGTTTTGAGAGCCTTAAATGATCCGTCGAATAATCCAAATACGTACAATCAGCCAAGAGTCGACGAGATAGGCTTTGTTTTAGATACTCTCGACGAAGAAAAAATTAGCCCAAGAGACATTGTACTCCACAAACTCAACGGTGGCATCAAAAGAGTTACAGATCTATTCCCAGGGTACTTAGCACTTCGCTACCCACTCTTTTTCCCGAGGGGAGAGCAAGGATGGATTCCAAAATATAGGTCGTTGAGAAAATCCGGTAAGCTGACGTCAATATATACCTCAGTTCACTCCATGCTAAATTCTTTTTACATAGGTCGTCAAATAACTCAGGACGAATGGTATTCCTCAATGTGTTTTGATAAGATTGGACAATTCTCGGCAATTGTCAATGGCAAATCCTTATTTCAAGAAATCCTAGACGACATGTATGTCTGCGTTGAGAGGTCGCGCTTAGACTTTGTCCGCCATAACCAAAAACAACTGAAGGCAGACTTATATAAATCTGTCGAAGAATCAATTCATAATGAGGCCGACATAGAAGGGAGAAGAATTATCCTTCCGTCGACTTTCGCAGGCTCACCTCGGAACATGAATCAGTTGTATCAAGATGCAATGGCATTAACTCGAGAATTTGGCCGACCTGCATTATTTGTGACGATGACAGCCAATCCAAAATGGCCGGAAATAACGGAAGCGTTAGCTGAGCATCAAGATCCAAGTGATCGACCTGATTTAATCGCACGAGCATTTCATTCGAAACTGGAGGCGTTATTAGAAGACATCGAAAAAAATAGTGTGTTGGGCCGAGTCAAAGCCATTGTTTACACGGTCGAGTTTCAGAAACGAGGGTTACCGCATGCTCACATAATGGTTATCTTACACCCAGCTGATATTCCGAAGACTGTTGAAGCCGTAGACACATTAATTTCAGCGGAAATTCCATGTGAAAAGAAAGAACCAGACTTATATCAAATTGTAACCAGAAATATGCTCCATGGGCCCTGCGGATTCAAGTCGAACTGTTGGAAAAATGGGATGTGTAAATATGGTTTTCCTAAACCATTTCGACCTGAGACTGAAATTACGGAAGACGCTTATCCGGATTACTGCCGCCGCAATGATGGCCGAACTGTGACAAAGATGGGTATGGAATTTAACAACGGGCATGTTGTACCTTTCAACAAGTTTCTTTCGTTAAGGTACAACTGTCACATCAACGTAGAGATTCCCTTTACAATCAGGGCGATGAAATATTTGTTCAAGTATATTTGCAAAGGAGTCGATCGTTCTTCTATGAAAATTGTCGATGGAGATGAGATTCAGCGCTTCATCGAAGGACGTTATATCGGCCCATCTGAAGGTCAGTAAGTACGATTTACCTATCTTGTTAACAAAGCTAATTTTTTGTTTTATTTACGGTAGCTGCATATCGTTTATTTCAGTTTCCAATGAATGGGAGGTCGCCTTCTATACAACGACTAAGCTTACATCTAGACAAGGGTCAAACAGTATATTACCGAACTCTCGACAATGTAAAGAAGTCATTTGAGACAGGCAAAGCAGAAAGAACGACCTTAACCGAATTTTTTCAATTGTGTCAAACTGACATCTCAGGCTTAGGAGTTTTGGCCAAGAACTGCCTTTACCAGGATATACCAAAATATTTCTGGTGGACTGATGATAAAAGGTGGGAACCTCGAATTCGAACTTCAGATGCCGTAGGAAGACTTTTTTTTGCGGCGATTACAGAAGGTGAGCGGTACTATCTGAGAGTACTCCTAGCAAACAAGCGAGGCCCAAAGTCATTCGAAGACTTGAGAACAGTCGAGGGCAGATATTATGAAACATTCCGAGATGCTTGCGAAGCTGCGAAACTGTTAGCTACGGACGACCATTATTCGGCAGCAATCCAAGAAGCCTCTTGTTGGATGTTAGGCCGTGCTTTGAGGGCAATGTTCTGTATCATCTTGGTACATTCTCCGCCATCAAATCCTCAGCGTCTCTTGGATGAATACGTCGAAGATCTAGGAGACGATTCCAATTATATATTGACACTGTCCAGGCCTGCGCTCAGAAATAACGTTGAATATATTCGATCATTCACAATATTTCAAATTGCAGAACAACTCAAAAAGCACAATCGTACTATGGAAGATGTGGGGTTAGCTCATGGGGATGATCCGAAGTGGGCATTGTTCAGAACCTTTGCGGATAACAATGACATTAGTACATATGACCCACAGCAAGAATTTGAGTCTAAACGGGCATCTTTGAACGAAGGACAAACGAAGATCCTAGACTATGTAATTGAAATGTCGTCTCAGCAAGAACCATGGATTATTTACGTTGACGGTCCCGGAGGTACAGGAAAAACCCATGTCATGAACATTTTGATAGACTATTTCAATGCACAAGGAAAAAAAATCAGCTCTGTCGCTTCTTCAGGAATCGCCTCACTTATTTTGCGCAATGCGACGACGGCCCATGCTCGGTTTAAAATTCCCGTGAAAATATCATCAAACTCAATGTGCACCTTTAGTACAAAAGGTCGCATTGCTCTCGAGTTGATGGACTTAGACATAATTCTATGGGACGAGATATCAATGCAGAACAGATTATGCGTTGAAGCAGTTGATCGAAGCCTTAGGGATTTGAGAGGTGTCGACTTACCATTCGGGGGGATCAGCGTGGTTTTCGGTGGAGATTTCAGGCAGACATTGCCTGTGGTGAAGAGGGCTAATATTTTCGTTCAGGCAAAATTGTGTATGCTGAACTCGGACTTATGGAGGACCGTCAAGACATTTTCATTGACGCGAAACGTAAGGTTACTCGGAATTGGGGAGGGTAACGATGATCCAAAATTAATGGAGTTCAATCAATGGTTATTGGATATAGGTGAAGGCAACCTTCAAACAGAATTTACAGAAGAAGTTGAACTGAAATACGGAGTCCTTTACAAAGGCAGATCAATCGAAGAGTTGATTCCTAGAATGATCCAATTTGTATACTCTGATTTAGCAGTGCTTTCACATCCGTTGAAATTCAACGACCTAGCACTCTATTATAAGAGTAGAGCTATCATAACTCCGCTAAATAAATATGTAAGTGAGGTCAACAGGAGATGCTTAGGTTTAATCCCTGGAAAAACATTCTTCTCGGTTTCTTTAGATCAAATGACAGATACTACGGATAAAGCCATCGGTGAGGAGATCCTAAACACGATTAATGTTCCAAATTTTCCCGAACATAGACTGGCGCTCAAGATAGGGATGCCTGTTATGCTTTTGCGGAATCTGTGCTTGAAGGACGGCCTGGCGAATGGAACAAAGCTCCTGATCAGGGACATTCAACCTAATACAATTCAAGGGGAGATACTGAATGGACCCTACGCAGGAACGATTCATATGATTCCAAGGGTGACCATAATTCATGAACCGGATATGGAATTTAGCGCAGGTTTCTCGCGGTTCCAATACCCAATCGTCAGCGCCTTTGCCTTGACAATCAATAAATGTCAAGGTCAATCACTGGATAAAGTGGGACTCTTTTTGCCAAGGGCGGTTTTTGGACATGGACAACTGTACGTCGGTATATCGCGGGTAACTTCTTGCGAAAGCTTAGGTATTGGCCTTTTGTGTGAAGAGGAGCAGTCAACGACACTCAATGTTGTAAATAAAAGTTTAGTCAAGAAACATCTGTCAAAAAATTGACTTAATATTTGTGTATTTTATACTTTTATTTTTTCAAGACTTGGTAGTGTAGTATTAGAATTGTTGTAACTTCAAATTGAAACGTGGCGCCAGCCACGCTATTCCCTAGTTTACATAAATACATAAACAGGTGGTTTTTGTGTACAGGACTCCAACAATCGGGTTGTTCGATGTAGTGATGGATGCTCGTGTGGGATGGCCGGGTTGAGGATGAGACTCAGGATGGAGTGGCCAAATGAATGAGTATGAAGAAAGACCGCGTGGGGGCGGATTGATGGGACGGAAATCTGCTAAAAGGGCGTTCATGAGAACTCTCCAAGACAAGCACATCAACAACTTGAAAGCCTTCCGAAATAACCTGCCATCCTACATACTTTGTACCAGCCTGCAACATTCCCACACTCCCGGAAGGAGAAAGCAAGCACACCCTGGGCCTGTAGACGGGCAACCAATCGAAAGGGTCCTGTGGATCCCCAGAAAACGAATCGCCCTCCAATTACATAGCTGCAACGGACAACCCACCTTGAGGTCAGCGTGGCGCAATATTCCCTTCTCCTCACACCTGATTGGTACATGCATCTGTCAACCGTGAATGTCTGTATGTGCTGTTTATAGATAAATCACTAATCAACTTCGTCTCTTCCTATATCTCGCAGGGAAAGCATCTGTTGAATCGCAATCGCCGTAATCTCGTCGGAGTTGAAAATTCGACGGTCAACAAAGCCTTCTTCGTCTTTTTATTGGAAAACTCTCGACACTCGTCACCCGACTGACTGGAAGAACTCGCAATCCTCAAAATTTACATCGAGCGGATAATTGGTCATTTGGAGAGCGCACGACTAGCAAGCAAGCCGTCACTGTTGAGACTCAACATACACAACCTCGAAACCATTATCAATATGAATTCGAAACCACAAGAGACTCCACCATCAAGCTCAAAAATTTCCAAGCCCAAATTGAGCTATCCGCGACGGTTCGATCGGGCCTCGAAGGGCGCCCAACTCAAGCACATCGCTCCTTCGCCCGCGCCCCCAATCGTTCATTCATCCATGGATCAAGTCGAGCTTATTCCGGAACTCAAGGCTAGCATCTTATCTATCCTCACGTGAGTCTTCTATGCCTTGCAACATTCTTGCAGACTTTTCTGGGACACGTATGTCAAGGAATTATAAAATATTCATCAAGATTGGAGATCTATATTTGAAGAGAGAAAGCTTGCTCCCCCAATACCCGGTAATATTGTTCAGACAACTCGCCCTTTGGTTGATTTGCTGTGCGGTATGCCTGTGTCAAGCTGTATTTACTGCCATTTCAGATATCAGTTGGTCTGTCGTGGGGCTCCTGAAATATTATTCACATTGAAAGCATCAGAAAAACAATGATAATAGGCCTTGAAACACCTGAATCTCTAATTTTTTTTTTCCTTACTAACCATTCTTAACTGCCTTTTACCTTGGCGCGCATTTATTCATTCAACAGATTCCAATGGATCCAGCCGCTTCTTTCACAAGGATATCGACGTCCGTTGGTGGAAACGGATCTTTGGGCGCTTGATCACGACCGTCAATCGGATATCCTATCGGACAAGCTTCTAGAGAATTACCGCAAACGACAGCTTGCAGCCCAGAAAGACCAGCCCGCTGGCGACCCCAAGCACCTTGCGAAGGCTTCTTTGGTTCGAGCACTCAACGACACCTTCTTTCGAAGATTCTGGATTGCTGGGCTTTGCAAGTTGATCAGTGATGGATTCGTGGCATGCACCCCCCTCGTCAATCGCGCCTTGATCGAATATGGCAACAGTGTTTATCGTCATAAACTCAACCCAGATACCACTCCACCGCCACACTCCAAAGCTCACGGCTATGGGCTTGCAATCGGACTGTTCCTTATGCAAGCGTCCTCAACGTTTTTTCTACATCAGGTTAGTTTTCTTTCATCCTTGCCTCTCATCTCCTTCTTCAAACCTCTGGGGTAGATCCTTTCGTGGTTGAGCAAAAGCAAACGGTGGTCATTTCTTCCTCTATGAATTGTTTTTTTTTACTTCTTTGCAGTTCTTTTACCTGAGCATGTCGGTTGGTGTGCTAAGTCGCTCCGCATTGATTGCAGCCATCTATAAACGTTCCCTGTCATTTAGTTCAAGATCCCGGAAACAGTTTCCTACCTCTCAACTGGTAGGCCACATCTCTTCCGATGTGTCTCGCATCGACGTTTGTATGGGGCTCTTTCATATGTCTTGGGCCACTCCCATCCAACTTGCGGCTATCCTGGCGATTCTAGTTCTCCAGATCGGCCCTAGCAGTTTGGCAGGAGTAGGTTTCATCTTAATGCTATTGTAAGTCATCTCGTGACTTAAATAAACGAAACGAAATCACACATCTGATTGTACTTTGATCCCCCTTTGAAAAGGCCTCTGCAAATCGCAGCCATGGGACTTATGTTCTCACTACGTATGAAAGTGGTTTCATGGACAGATAAGCGTACTCGCAAGACCCAGGAAGTCCTTCAAGGGGTCAAGCTGTTGAAGCTTTTCGGATGGGAGGAAGCCTTCTTATCAATCATAGACCGCTTCCGAGTCAAAGAATTGAACCTTTTACACAAGGCGTTAGTTGTTCTGGCCGCTTCTTTGGCCCTTGCCAATAGTTTCCCTCTTCTAGGTTCCGTCATCGCCTTCGTGACTTATTCCGCTATGGGCCATGGCGCAGGAAACCCGGAGGCAGTCTTCACTAGTCTTTCACTCTTCAATTTGCTTGGGCTTCCCCTGCTTATCCTCCCAATCGCCCTAGGCTCTATCGCAGATGCTCGAAGTGGGATTCAAGTATGTACCATCATGTTCCAAATAGTAAACCTCATTGGGAAGATGCTAATGGTCACATTACTTCCGGTCCTTTTTTCTAAAAAAAACAATCTTTCTAGCGGCTGGAGAAAGTTTTTGAAGCGGAGGTGGTCGAAGAGCAAGACGAAATCTTCGTTGATTCCACTCTTGATGCTTCGATTCGTGTGACGAAATCTTCGTGGGTTTGGGAGCCGAACAACGCAGACGATGGCGATCAAGAGAAAAAACCTGACAACCCAATAGCAGATCTCTCAATCGATGATCAGAAGAACCCGACACACCCCAACCCCGCAAATGTCACATCTAGTTTCCGACTGACCGACATTGAAATGGATATCAAACGTGGATCACTGACCGCTATCGTTGGGCCGATTGCATCGGGCAAATCATCTTTGATTCAAGCGCTGATTGGCGAAATGCAACAGATTTCAGGCAGCCCACCCTCATTCGGGGGCCAAGTTAGCTACTGTCCACAAAACGCTTGGATTCAAAACGACACGATCCGCGACAATATTATTTTTGGGTCGGAAATGGACGAGAAGCGCTACCAAGCCGTCATTCACGCAGCTTGTCTTCAAGCCGATCTCGACATGCTCCCCCAGGGCGACATGACTTTGATCGGGGAAAAGGGAATCAACTTATCTGGTGGACAAAAACAGCGAATAAACATCGCCCGCTCGATTTACTTCATTTCCGACATTATCCTCTTCGACGATCCACTATCTGCTGTCGATGCACATGTCGCAAAACATGTATTCGAGCATGCAATCCGAGGCAGTAATTATACTGCTGGTCACAGCGGAATCGGCAACCAAACCAAAATTCTGGTTACTCATGCATTGCATCTTTTACCCAAGGTCGACGAGATCATCTGTATGAATGACGGCAAGATCCAAGAACGAGGCACATTCGAGGAACTCTTAGCTGCTGGTGGTACCTTTTGCGCCTTGTACAGAGACTTTGCTGGGGGTCAACACCAACAAAATCATGCGGCAAATCAAACCCCAGAGAAAGCTGAGACAGAGATCTCGACAAAATCTCCCACCGAGAAGGATCACAATCAGAGTGTAGATGATAGGGTGGACCATATACCAAAGAATGAACCTTCAGGGAAAATCGAGGGAGATGATGACTTGAATCAGATGCAGCAAGAAGAACGAGTAACGGGCTCTGTTCCTTGGAGCGGTAAGCTTTCAGGCGCATTTTTTCATTTCTTGATTCGTCTATTAACATCAGTGTATATTGACAATTGATTTCTGGCCTCTCGCCACTCCCAATCTTTGAACAGTCTACAAGCACTTATTCACAGCCGGTAACGGGAAATGGTTGGGTCCGCTATTGGTCATCAGCGTTGTCTTCGAACAATCTGCCGTGGTGCTGTCCTCTTATTGGTTGGTATGGTGGCAGAATGCTAAAATCCAAATCAGTCAAGCAACTTATATGGTAAATCTTTCATATATTATGCATAATGGGACAGCAAACCAAAATCAATTACAACACCTTTTAACCGATTGCTATCAAATTTTTTCAAACTCTAGGGTGTTTATGCTAGCCTTGGAATCTTTCAAACGCTTTCGGGATTTGCCATGGGTGCTGTGGGCGTAACGATTGGATTTTACGCGTCTAAAAACTTACATCACGGCGCATTGAAGGCGATAACGAGGGCACCTCTAGCATTCTTTGACACGACTCCTCTCGGGAGAATTATGAATCGACTGTCGAAGGTGTGTGACAAATTTCCATGAGACGACCTTTCACCATGATATCCTTTCTAATTTATATTGCCTCTTGATTCTGTTCAGGACGTGGACTCGATCGATAATAAGTTGAACGACTCCATGAGGATGGTTTTGACAACACTCTCACAAGTTATTGGAGCCATCATTTTGATTGGGATTACGAGTCGCTATTTCTTACTCGCGATGGCAGGTGTAACAGCAGGCTGTTGGCTTCTTGCCACCTTCTACAGGCCCTCCGCTCGAGATATACAACGTCTGAATAACTTGCTCCGAAGCAAGCTTTATGCGCAGTTTACCGAATCCCTGAATGGAATCACCACCATCAAGGCTTACGGAATGAAGGCGAAATCAATAGTCAAGCACTGTCGCCTGTTGGATCACGAGACTCGGGCTTATTACTTGACCACTGTAAATCAACAATGGCTTGGGATTCGGTTGGAAGGATTCGGCTCGATCTTGGTGTTCATTGTCGCGATTATCTCAGTCGCACAAGCTGGCTCGATTAATCCGAGTCAAATTGGCCTCATACTCACTTATGTTCAAACGATCTCCCAATCACTGAGCTGGCTTGTCCGCCAGATTGCGGAAGTTGAGAACAGTCTTAACTCAGTGGAACGCGTCCTGTGGTATCAAAAAAATGTACCACAAGAGGCTGCAGCTCTGCTTCCCGATACAGATCCCGATACAACCTGGCCCTCCGGCGGTTCGATTCAATTCGATTCCATCGTGATGAGCTATCGGCCGGGATTACCACAGGTTTTGAAAGGGCTTTCGATAGACGTCGCCGCAGGAGAGAAGATTGGGGTGGTTGGCCGTACCGGAGCTGGGAAGAGCTCACTGATGTTGGCTTTGTTCAGGACCACGGAGTTGGAGTCGGGCAGCATCAAAATTGACGGAGTGAATATTAGAGAGATCGGCTTGGATCGTCTGCGACGCTCAATTTCTATCATTCCTCAAGACGCTATACTCTTCGAAGGAACGATCCGAACGAACCTCGATCCGTTTGACGAATACGACGACCAAAGCTTGTGGGATGCTTTATCCAGATCAGGCCTCAACCAAAAAAACGCCTACCTCGGTGAAACTAAGGAGAAGTATGGATTAGATAGTGTTATTGAGGATGAAGGAGTGAACCTTTCGGTGGGAGAACGGAATTTGGTGTCTCTGGCTAGAGCTTTGGTCAAAAACTCAAAAATCATCGTGTTGGATGAAGCAACAGCATGTCAGTTTGTTTTCTTCATCTCAGCCTTTACACCCGAGCTGATTTTGATGTTGGTTTTGAATTTAGCTGTTGATTTTGAGACTGATGCCAAGATCCAAGAAACCATCCGCAAGGAATTTGGAGATAAAACACTGTTATGTATCGCTCATCGCTTAAGGACGGTAATCAACTATGATAAGATTGTCAGTGACATCCAAAACCCGCCAGGACCTGAGATCCAAAATTCTGGCACGTAAAGCTGACTGTTATCCCTTTTGTTCTTTCGCCATGGCAGGTCGTCATGGATGGCGGCCGTGCAGTTGAGATTGGGACTCCGTTGGCCTTGTATGATCAGGAAACAGGAATCTTCAGGGTCTGTCACTTTTTTGACATTTATCACATGTTTTCCACAAGAAATTCACGTTAACCCCAATCATTTCAAACGTCTTCAAAAACAGAATATGTGCGAATCGTCCTCAATTACGCGTCAAGACATCGTCTCCTCCCGCGGATCGCACTCTTCAGTCGGGGATACATAAGCCAATCCCAACAAGACCACGCAGTCTGCGGCTTGTCGACCCATCACAAAAATTATCATGAATAATGCGCCTGTTGAAAGCAATCTTCAATTATCGTTTGTCTGTCAAGCTTGCTGCTAGCAAGTCTTTTTTTTGTATATATCCTTGCCGAGGCCCGTTAGACTTTTTGAAGCCTATGTAATTGCAATCTAGCTGAGCCCTTCGCACAACATGCATGAATGGAACCTGGTCAAAAAAAGCATCAGATAGATGATTGCATCCACACTGATGTACAGTCAGGGAGTGAAATCTTTCTGTGCCGTCCAAAGGCGCCCAAGTGGGTCTCATTCATGCAACCTAACTGGATTTTCAGCCTGTACATATCGCCGACATCACATCCGTCCCCGACTACCAGCAGGTGTTTAATTATTGTCAACAATCGACGAACTCAGGAAGAAACAAAATTTTCATTTTTTCTTTAAAGTTCTCTATGTATGTATCCCTGTTTTTTAAAATTCTATTTTCCAAGTTTTGTTAAAATTCTAATTCTATTTCTTAAATATACATACTATGTGAATTCTATCTCGAGTTACACATACTATGTTGTTAGGCGCGTCAAGGAATGTTGAGATCCCGACGCGTGTCGATTTATTTTTTATCTTAAATAGTCTTTCACTTCCCGAACTCGCTCTCTTCCCCTCGTGGGATTTATTTTGTTTTCATTCTCTCAACACTTTCAAGTTTTAAAATGCATAATTTCATTTCTTACCATCATCAGGATCTGAGTATCCTCCCTGCACCCTGCCGAATTGCCCCTGCTACCCTGAAAATTCTTTACAATTATCTTTTGCGAGTTGGTCCTGGCACTGCTATGACTATTTGGTCTTCAGTTCTGATTCATCGACTCCTCGAGCACTTCCGGGATTCTTCTGGAAACAGCAGAACCTCATCATGGGTGCACTAAGGCATCAAGCCTTGGCTTCTGCTTGGCCAAACACACCCCCATCCTTCCGCATCTAAAAGACCTAACAAACACAACCCGTCCACCCATAGGAAATTGTACCAAGGCCGGATTACACGGAATTGGGCCAGATCCAAGAAGCTTTGGGACACCCAAATTGTATGTCAATGTATGTATACAATTATTACTTGCTGTGTATGAAAGTCCACTCAAATTGTGGTACAGTTTGAGAAGAAAGTAAGCAGGTGTTCTGTACGTGTAATTCTACTAAGAGAACTTGGCCTCTGGATCCAATTGACGATATGTACTTTGGTGGGCTCAGTCATACAAACAACAAGGGTCGGCCCTGGTCGACCCAAGGCCCTGACATGTGATCCATGAATGAGCGCTCCGGGTTTCAAGGCGTTGACGCGTATCTGTAAAATTTGCTTAAGCCTTTTGAGCGATTTGCACCCGACAAACCGCCCGATGTAAATCGCTTTGCCTCGCGTCCTCGCGGTTATCGGAGCAGTGGGACTGCGTCATCCGGCTCGAAAAGGAGTCAGGACGGAACCCAAATAGAATGCCAGCCGAATCTGAGCTGAATTGGGGCCGGCAGCCGGCCCTGCCACCAAACACACTGTTCATAAATACAGGAAGTCCTCCACCATCCGTGTTTGTCTGTTCAGCCAGCCATCCAAAGAAAAGAAGTTTTATCATACATACATATGTACATATACCGCATGGCTACGAGTGAGGCGCCATGGAATGTTCTCTCTCTGCCTCTCGGATTTGTATCAGGGTCAGGAGCTCATGTACCCTTCCCGGATCATAGTATCATCCTGGTACCCTGTACTACCAGCCACATCCGTAAGGGTTGGGAATTCTGGGAAGCAGCCTGATGCGAGTTGCAGCCCCAAATTCAGCTGTGCCGTTACTTGGACTGACATAAAGCCATCGGTTCCTCAGCGGTGAAGCACGCACTCCATCATCCTCCCCCAGCCCCCTTACGTTCCGATTTCCTATTGACAACTTTCGTTTTAACCCGTCGTTGCACCTTACACTTACAAACCCTTTCCAAAATGAACAAATTAGCTACTCTTGTGCTACTCGCTCTCGGTCTAGCCGTCGCGGATGCTACCATCCACACCATGTGCTTCAACTACTTTTTGAACAAAGACAAGTGTGTGAATGGCGCTGCCGGCCAAAACATTCGATGCAATGCCGACCCCAAACCTCATGAAGCCCCAGTCGCCAAAGTTAGCGCCTACCCACCCTACTTGTGATATCCTTCGTGACGCTGATTTTGTGCAACTCTTGACTCATCTCCCACCAGTTTGTCATGCAAACTCCTCCCCCCAAGCAGGCTCACAACGGTGGTAAAAATCGTCTTGAACGCCGTTATGACACTTACCATAAGGTTAGCCCCTTTCTCCTCCGTACTCCAACAAATCGCATTACTGACAACATTCCAATTGCAACAAAATACTAGGTCCTCGAAATGAGCAGTGGCCAAGGTGTAAGTTTTTTTTTCCACCATCATCTCGAAAACATGTTCTCATAGGCCCTTCTCGGACAGATCTGTGGAACCTACGATTCAGACAGACAGGACGGAGTATGTCTCTGGAGCGGACCCGAACAAGACAACCCTACCGTCCACACGGCTGGATGGCTCAATGGGTACGTTCTTGGCCCTCCGCATCCCGTCTCCTAACACTGACGTTTTTGCTTTTCTGCCTTGCAGAATCAAGAAGTCCAACTGCGGCAAGCAAGTGTAAGTGATCTGTTTTCTCCGCCATATTAGTCACCCGCCGTAAGTCCTAACCCGTCCGACCAATAGATACATCCAACGAAAGGACAAAAGCAAGGGACCGTTCTACGTCCCAGTCCTTGATGGTAGGCATTTGACAGCTCCCCCCCCCCCCCCCCCTCAACACATCAATCACCTTACTAATTCATACGTGGCATCTGCACACCCTTTCTCTCAGGTTGCTCTTTTGAGACCAAGAAATTAGAGGAAGGATGCTTCGAGATTGGTGTCACTAAATCGGTAAGTCCCCGTCCTGCTTCCAGAATGTTGATCCAAGGGTGCAATGGTGTTGAGTCGTTCCCAATCCATCCAGCTTGCCGCCAAGCTCACCATCTTCCCCAACGAGACCTCCGGTCCCGACTCAGGCTACCTTTACGGCGGATTCACATGGGACTTGTAAGCCGAATTCTCTGCCAAATCTGATCCAATTCCTCTCGTACTTAACTGCATCTTTCCTCCATCACACCTTTCCAGCAACAATCTCGACGGCAGCAACTCGGCCGCCGGACCCGTTTAAAACAACCCCCCCCCCCCTCCCCCAGCAGCACTTCTCTTCCTAACGACTCTTTCAGCTTGTCACGTTTTTCATTCCTTATCTATGTTGCCAAAGCCCATCCGACAGTGATACATTTACTCTAATGAAGCTGAACATGCCTTGATCTCTAAACGAATACGGCACACAGCAATCATCGCCACTACATGGACAAGTTTCTTACTACTACAATGCTGGATGGGTTAATTGTAATACATCTTAGTTAAATTAAACGCGTGCTTCTCCCGTGTCCTAGAAAGGCAGTCTTTGCTGCTTGGGAAAACTCCTCTCCTGTGATGACTTGGTAGTCATTCTGAGCGTGGCGATCACCACCAACCGTGCCGAGTCCAACACAGCGTTCTGAGATACACCCTCCGCACCGATGGTTCATTCACTCCTGCTGAGTTGTTCTAGCTTCCCTGCTCACTTCCGCGTCAGTTTTCTCTACCACTATTGGCAATGAGTGTAAGATGAAATCGACGATTCCATTGAGTCTCGTGTCCCCCGCCGAGTCCCTGTTATGCATTCAGAGCCAAATTTGGCCTTGTGGAGATGGTGATGTTGAACTGGCAATGATTTGTGACATCAACCATGAATGAGTTTGTAGTTGTCCACTGACTCTGAGCCGCGCTGGCCTTTCCTGTCATATACAGATTTCGACATCAAAAACTCAATTCACATTGGAATGATTTTTTGATTTCCATATGAACTTTTTTTTTGCCTGATTATTCTTGTCGTAGTATTGGCAACCTGGTTTGCAGGACTGGTTATCTCTCATGGTCTTAAGCCACAAGTTGATCATCACAAACACTTTTGCACCTTTCTTTCTTGCATCTATGTAGTACTTTTAGTCAAGCTATGTTGTAGCTCCAAGAAATAAAACCCATGGCTATGGTTCTGTATGTACTCGCTTCACCTGGTAAAGATTTCCCCTCTCATTTTCATATCCACCATAGTATATGTATCTCAACATTAATGTAGTTCACTAATTTCGCACATTTTCCTCAATCTTGATTAATGCATTCTTTCTCATTCCACTGCGAACCCCTCTCTACATAGACTCCTAAGGATAATAGTAAAGTTATAATAATATATTGAGATAAGAGTTAATTATCTTTCTATCTTTTTTCTTTCTTTTTTCAAAATCAAATAAAAAGGGATGTTAAATCATAAGTATTCAGTAATGGGAATAAACAATTTTTTTTTTTAAAAAAAAAAGTATATGTAAAATATAATCATGACCTGTTGTTTCTCTTCCAAAGAATAGTTGAAAAAAAAGGGAAAAAAAAACATAATCAAAAATGAAAAATTGTAAAATGTAGCACCCTGATAAAAAAAGAAAAAGAAAACAGAAAAAAAAGATATAAGTAAAAAGCGATTATAAAACGTGCTACTAACATCACAAAGATTTAAACGGTCATTGTTGAGAAACAAAAGACAGAGGAAAAAAGACGCGATCATAAGGATGATTCATTGAATTGTGCATTCAGTCAATAGCGGAGATAACATGAGTAGAGGTCTAAAGGATCTCTTCATCCTCATCCTTGATTTCACTCGGCTTAACCATCCCCGGAACCGCAGCCTGTTCTTGAGCCTTAGCGGCAGCCAAAGCCTCCTTGTCTTCCTGGAACAAGTCATGATGTTGACCATCGCTCGTACCTGAGTACTCGCGTAGGGAGATCAAGAAGTCTCTGAGATTGCTCTTGAATCGAGCCGCATCGCTGTATGTCTCCGAGCAGCCAGTGATAAATTGCTGAATAATCAAACTGTGCCGGTGAATTGATAGGAAAACAGGAAGACAAAATCAGTTGTCTGATTGGTCTTCTCAGATAGCAGGATGAGAGAGATTGGGCTTAACGGTTGAACGTGAGGGAAGGCTGTGCTCAAAAGGTTAAAGGTGTATTCCTTGAGAAATCGGCCGTTATCCATAGTTGCATCATGCTCAGTTGGGTTGAACAGTGGCCCAGCGATCGAGGCACTTTCGACAAGACCCCACATTCGAGCCAAGACTTGAGATTGGCCTTTGAAACCTGATCGAATCGAAACACATTTTCAATCGCTCACGATTTCAGTATCCTATCATATGGCGTCACGGCGGATGATTAGAAAGTCTTACCGCTCTTGTGGTCCGCATCAGTCAAGACAAAAAAGATATCTTGTAAGATTCCCAGGTAATATTGTTGGAAGAATGCAGCCGCAGTCGGGGGATCGGTGTGGGTGGATACATTTGTAAACAGTTCCAAAAGGATTCTGCGGGCAAGGAGAAGGCACACAAAATGAAAAATGAAGCGTCAGATCCGGACGCAACTCTACCGGAGGCTCAGATTGAAAGAAAAAAACAAACGCTAGTCCGGTGTCTGCAATATCGCGTGTGATGTGCTTGATGGCCCAGATTACACTGTCCATCATCAGCTTAAACCTGTTGGGTTCAAGGGCCAATAAGGCTGTCGTGTTTGAAATGTGTGTGCATTTATCAAGTAAGTCACAGAGTTTCTTTGGATAATCGGACTTGGGCAGATATAAGAGGAGTAAAAAAACTGACCAGTAAAGCAACTAGCATTGATCGCACGCAATAACTTGAAAAACCCGACCCGGTGTTCTGGGAATTCTGAGAAATCTTGGTTGATCATTGTCAGAGTAGGCTCAAAGACTAGTTCAAGAATCGCAGCCACTTTGCCTGTTAGCAAGGGCTACATAAATCGGAAGTTTGGCGAGATGGTCAGGGTTAGCAAGCTTGTCCTCATCAACCATAAAAATGACTGCCAACTAACACCTAACCGGATGACAATTGTAGAAACGATGTTTAAAACTTCGGCATCTCTTGCCGCAGGAATATTCCGGTTGTAATCGCCCAACACAGCATCCAAAAGTGGAGGCAGAAGGGTGTCATTCAAGCTATTGAGGTCTTCAGCACGTCGAATGTGGGTGTCCACCAGCTTCAAAATCTCCTTCTTGATGGTACGTAGTCCTCTAACTTTCGGCGTCTTGGTTGCAATGATGCCCTCAGCAGCCACGGTTTCACTGATTATACCAGAAACAGCTTTGTATAGCCCGAGCATATCCATGTAAATCCGCACAATCTGCGGCTGGAAAAACGACCCAATCGACATGCACGCTGAAACATTGCATTTGAGGACGTTTGATAACAGTTTGATATTATCTGGGTTGGCGAGAACATCGACACTGGCAGCAGACTGCTGCATCAAGCGATCCCACTAATGGAGGAAGAACAATAATTTGTTTAAAAAACGGAATCAAAACAGTTGAACCAAAACATATAAGCACTTGACTTACAACTGCATTAGGAGCTCGCATGAGACCGGCAATCAAGCGTTCTTGAACCGGTCTATTTGGTTGAGCGGCAATCATGTGTCCCACAGCTTCATAGAATGTATGTATCTAGGGATAAAATGGAACAAGTCAGGTTCTGGGAACATTGTCGGAGGAGGTCCAATGCCAACCTGTTGGGGAGATAAATCCTCTGTAATCTTGTCGAGGTTTCGTACAATCTCGTCCACAAACGGCTCCTGTTCTCCTGGTTGCTGGGTGATGAAATGCCGCCGGCATTTCTGAGCAATTTTGATGAAGGTATCGCAAGCCATGTCCTGAACCCCTATAATGTTGCACACAAGGGGTCAATTTTGTTGGAAGGTTCGATTCACACGGCATTAAGAAATGATTTACCTTCGTGGGTTTCGTGCATAAACTCAAATAATTTATTGACCACCGTCTTCAGAAATTTCCAGTGGGCTTTTAAAAAGCGAGGGTATTGTCCAACAATGTACATGATGTCAGATGCAACAATAGCTTTATTATCCTTCCCGCGCTTCAGCTCAGTGAGCCCTAAGAGATCCTTTATCACAGTAACCAAAAAGCGCTTTTCGGATTCCTCGTCTAGAGAATAGAAACGTGACTAGGATGAGCCTATGCAAGAAAGGAAGAACATATATCAGGTGTGAAAATCACGCACTCATGGCGCCAGATATCGAGCCAATTGCCCAACACAGCGTGTTACAATTGTTCCATGACCATTCAGAGCCGTCTACTTGCCGGGCAAGTTTGTTGAGCATAATTTCTTCAGTATCGGGTACCTAGATACTCAGTTTGTCAGCGGCAGAGTTTATGTGGCAGGGCTGCAGGTATAGAGTGTCTCTGAATAACAAGCAAGGCTTACATCTAAATGGGTCAAGTAAACCAAAACCTCTCGCATCGCCTTGTACAGTACAATCGTGTCCGTCTCCTTCAAGAATTCGCGTACAACTTCACCTTCATCGTTCTCCACCACGAGAACCTGCAGATAAAACGTGCACGAAATTAATTATCTTGAAGTAAATCACGGCGACCGGGAAGTTTGTAGTTCAGTAACATGGGACGAACCTCTTCAGGCTTCACCATTTTTTCGATGAACACTAGCCGCAAGTTGCTACAAACATCGCGATACAGGAGCTTTCGGCCTTGAGATTCACCACCGACCCCACCACCACCAAAGTGGGAACTAGTGCTACCAACGCCACCGGCGCCTCCGACCAGGTTCAATCCAATTCCCATGAGTGGTCCCATGTCCGTGGGGATAGACTGTTGTTCATCGTACAGCTCCTTGACAAGCTTTGACCAATATTCTAGACAGACTTTAAACAGCTCCCGATCGTCAACCTGTGAGATCTTCACTAAATACATGTGCACATTGACTCTACGGAAAGGAAGTCACATCAGAGACAAAGTCAATCGGTAATCAAAAAAATTGGGAATCTCACAGTAAATCGTGGTGCTGCGGAACCTCCAGAAGTCTGCTATTCTTGAATAAGAAACTGCATAGAAACACCGCCAGGGCCATGACAAACTCCTGTTCATATTGAGGCTGAGAGTCCCACATCTCCTTTAGATCGGTGTTGGGCGGTAAGATTCGGTTGACGGATGACATGACCATAGTGAGTAATAGGACAAATTTCGAATCATATTCTGGGCCGGCATCCTTTATACACCCGATTTCAGCCAAACATCTTAAGGTAATGTTACGATATTGCCTTTCTTCAAGGTACTAGACATTTTTCATTGGAATCGAGAATAGGTCAGTCGTCCTTAGCAGTATTGCGTGCAACAATTAATATTTTCACGTACTCGGTTGATCAAGTGATCGATCAGACTTGTCTCGAAGATGTAGCCTAACGGGATCCAATTCAAGAACCGCAAAAGTGTACCCAAAGTCGCGGTGATAAGACTCGGTTTGGTAGCTTTTTCCAAGATCTCACTGTCAAAGTGCAAACATGCAAATCAGTGTCGTGGGGGTAGTGAGATTCAGGGAAGAGATGCACTGACTTGCAAAGTTGAAAAACATCAGCAAATTCGTTACACATTTGATTCTTCAGGGCCTTGGTCTTAGCCTGAGTCATTTGCTCTGCACTGTAATCGAAAATTTCTTCAGAAAGGAGCTTGAGGATAACCATGTTATTTTCGCACAATGACAGAGACGTTCGAGACGAGGCGATGATTTCTGGAATGAAGTCAGGCCAGTTATGAGGCCACTCCTGTTTCAGAATCTAGAGGGGGAGACCGCACTTCGTTAGTAACGAAACCATTCCAGTTTGTTTTATGAAATGTGACACTCACCTGAACCAATATCAAATTCATTTTGTTGACAAAAGCCTTGTCCTTGACCATTTGTGCTTCGTCACGTGTCATTTTGACGATGTAACCGACAATGAAATTCTTAAACAACGCAGGGGGTGAGATTGACATAAGCTACAGGGTAAGCATGTTGGACATAGGTTCATGGTGATGCTAACCTTGATACCGGATCGTTGAGTTTCAGGAAGAGCTTTCCATTTGGTCGTAATCAGCTATGCGCAGAACCCAGACAAAACAGATAAAAACGAGAGTCAGCATTGTTGGAAAATATGTTTTATCAGCTCAACCGACAGCGAGAATGACCAACCTTATCCATAATTTGAAGGGCAATGTACTGGCGATTCAGAATGATGAGAGAACGAAAACGAAAACATCGCGTCAGTACTGATGATCAACATTCAGCCTCACGAGGTGGGGAGGATCAAGTGGCCCAGATGAGATTAAGGATTTCCGAGAAGTGAATCTCAGACACGCGTCGCACAGGAAATCGATCAAGCAAGCCAGAAGTCGCCTTTCGAAGACCTTAAACTTGCTCCTACCTACCTTTGAATTTTGCGAGACGCTGTTTTCCAATATCATCGGCACCTTCTGCCAGGAATCCGGTAGCTCTTGAAATTGGGCAAGGATGGCCATGGCCTGTTTTTGTTGTGGGCCTTGAGTGTTGAAAGCAGCTTGAACTACTTGATCGATCAAGATCGGGTCAGAGGCTGGGTTCAATAACTCTTCCATGATGTTGATCGAGGCTATTGATGATGAGACTGTGTGATACGGTGTCGCAGCAAGTGAGGTTCTTGAGAATTGGTTGAGGGACGATCGAGGGGATACAAGATCGGAGACGAGTTTGCTATGCGCTCTTCCTTCCTATGTAGTTTGAAGGTTTCGAATGGCTGTTTTGACCAATTGATGTGATGGATATTTTGAAGAGCGTGGTAAAAGGTCAGATATCGCTGAACACATGCTTATCTGTACATGTACAAATCAATCTTACCTTGGAGGTTGAGAACTCGTGGATGGTCCTGACTGGAGAGAGACGATTTTGATATGTAGACAACAGAGTTGATCAACCAACTCGTGATCGGTTGAGAACCAGAGAATCAATCAAGAACAACCCGTTTAGGATACTCGTTGTTCAGACCAGCGGCCTAGATGAACGGGCCTTTGAAGCTTGATATCTCAAAATGAAAGGGGGAGGTTCGGATAAACCAACGGTTTTTGTAAGGCTGTCTGTCTGTCTGTTTGTTTGTTTGTTCGTTGGAGGGTCTGTCTGTGTTGTAGTTGCTGGCTGAGTGTGACTGGTTTTTGGAGGAAGGGAGATGTGTTTGGTTGTGAGTTGGCTGGCTGAGTGACGGAGGTGAAGAAGGTCAGCACTCGATCCCAGTCGGATGGTCAACAGGCGCCCAGTTTATCAATGGCCCTCATCAGGCGCGTGACAGGCACCGAACAGCCCACAGACCAGAATGGCACAATCTCCGATCGAACTGGGAGCTCTCACACAGTTCACATGCACAAAATATTGAATGCCCCAGCCTGAGCAAGCAAAGACTTTTTGCTTGAACATCTATCTCATCCTGATCATGGTGGAGCTTTCGCTCATTCCATAATTTGATCTCATTTCAACCAACTTAACTCAAGCCTATATTTAGTTTGCTCACATGTGTTTGTTTGTATTTCAGGTCAAGAAACAGAGACAACAAGAGAGTAAGAGGGTACAACATTGGACCAAGTAGATATACTTGAAATCAAAGGTGCACTGGAAAGGTTCGGCTGTAAAATCAATGGATTTCTCCCAGTAAAAGGGACTTCCTACAAGCCCAACCCATGCTGATGGCAGTGTATTCTTTGGAATGAATTTCAACTGCTGAGAAATTACCAGAAGGGAGAAGCTCTGGAATTTATGGCCTCAGAACTGAGAGAGGATCAACTGAAATACAAGCTTCAAGGGCATATCATTGGGGGTGCTGAGCGGTTTTGAGAGACAAGAAAAATGGAAAGGAATTAGAGAGGAAAACCCCTCCTTTTTGTAATCCAAGCGCAAGGGGCTAATTAATCTGAGGTGGATCACTGTATATCATGGCCACAAGTGCAGGGATAAAAGCAACTACCCAAAAGAAAACAACTGTTTTAGAGCAAAAGTAATCTTCTGGTTGAAACCTTTTTGCTTCTTCTTGCAGTCGTAGTTCATGTTTCCTTTGAATCCAGTCTTCAGGCTTGTGTGAGCAAACTGGGCAATCTTTTGCTTTGGTAAATCGAAGGCACTCAATATGGAATCGGTGGTTGCACCCAACTTTAGATAGAGGACCTGTGTATGGATTGATTGGCTGTTTGCAAATCTTACACGTTTCTTCTGGATTTCCATACATCAATTCACTCATTACAAATCATCTTTTGGTAATCTCAGATGAACATTTCTCAACTACCCACCACTAAAAGACCTCCTAACCAGCCTATCATGTGTGTAAATACCCAGGGAATCAGTACTTTCTTCCTAGATTCACTCAAACATATTTGTATTTACAGATAATTGGTAAGCATCAAATCGTAAAAGATAATTGTGAAGTTTTAGTCAAACGTCATAACTCACTTTTTGGTGATTCAAATTAGGTTCCAAGTGAACATCCATCTCTTTCAATGATTCTGGTAGCTGTGTTGACCTCTCAGAAACTTTCATTTCAGAGTATCTGGCAACCAGCTATCAAAATAAACATCTGTTCAGTTCAGGGCTTTTCAAATGACATGAATGATGGTAGAAAAAGCTAACCATGATGATAAGAAAATATGGCAAAATTTTGATGGATGTGGATTGAAAAAGCATTCTAAATACCAATTGCTAAAGCCAGTTTAAATTCTTTGGAATTGTATCACCAAGGCTTGATGGAAGTGTGACAGAGAAGAACAAACCACTTTGTGACTGTCCTTTTATAGTAATTGGAAGTCAAAGCCAACCAACAAAAACAAGGCTTGAAGAGCAAAACACAACCAGGGTTTTTCAACTGTTTGCTTGCTGCAGGAGTATTCCTGAGCTGTAAATTAGATTGGATGAAACAATTATTTCTTATCTATAGTCATTGGAAGAAGGTTTGGTGGAGAAATCAAGAAATTCAGGTGAGCTACTTATTATGGGTGGAGGAGAGATGTAAAACTGACACAATCCTCAATGGCTAGACCAAATTATGAGTCTTAGAACAAATTATGAGTCTGAGACCATACAGTCCAAACAAATGTGGATGTAGAGTGAAGGTGTTTGAGATATAATTATCTGGCCTTCTTGAGAGCCTATCATGACACTTGCTTGTTTCTGAGTCTTTTTGAATATAGGTCTTATCTGAGTGAGAGGGATGTATTTTTGGGTTTGAAATATCAAATTTCTAAATTATTCCCCCCAAAGTTTATAATACCACTCTCAACCAAGTGATCTTTAGCGGATATGACCCCTGAATAAAGGCTGAAAATGGAAAATTTGACAGGTTTCACAAATTGTAGGTGTGAATTCATTCCCAGCTAAAAATTTGGGGACCAAGAGAATAGAAAGTGGGACATTTTTATTATAGAACATTGTAAGTTAAAACTTCTGGTGTTTTGGAGCCATTTCAATTCTCTTATTAAGTTAGCATAAATTACTGTGCATCCCCAACTTGATAAGTCCCCAAATTAATCCAGGGAAAAACTTAGTATTCCTCCAATATTTGCATCTCTTCAATTCAGGTTGTGGTGTTTTGAAAGTGGCACCCCCAATATTATGGTGGCAATGGAGCCAAGAGTGGAATGGTATGCAGATCAGATTTCATTGGTGAATTGTTGTATCAGCTTTTGACAATGTGTAAATGAATTTACCATAGCTCTTGTGTTATATTTAACAGTGCATCAACTGACATGCTTATAATCTTTCATTCCAATACCAAATTTTAGCAGCACCAGTGGGTAGTTAATATACAGATATTGGTGAACTAACAGTATTGTAACAAATTTTCTTTGGCTAATGTTAAAGATATTGTAACAGATTTCTAGTTGATTTATCTTAATTGTTTCAGTATGTTTTTTGGAAATTTACTATATCTGTATCACTATTCATCAAACTAAGATATAATGACAGTATTAGTAACTAGTGTTTTTTTTTAATTATATTCCATTTTTGGAGTCAATTTGACCTTTTTGTGGGGATTAAAAATCTCCAGTCACCATTTATTCCAAGGTAAAATTGGTTTTCAGCAAAGCAACTGCATTTAGTTATCCTGAAGCACTGGTCAGTTACTATACTCAGATATGTCAGTTATTGTTAAGTATTGTAAATACCAATTGTTAGCTGTACCTATCTGGATAACCTATCTTGGTTTGATTTTGAAGGATAACATTTCACAGGTTTTAGGTTGACATATTACCATTAGCAATTTTTCACATTTACAGATAGATGAAGATCTGGTTTCATTTGAATGCTGAAAGTTTGAGATGTGACTCTCTAAATCCATAATCCATAATCAAATTACAATTGGATATTGAATTTTTTTTTCCTGGCTAAATTGATGTGATTGGTCTCACCACAACACCCGCCAAGTCCACCACTTCAGCCCCTGATCCGGCCGCGCCAAACCCTGCTTCTGCCTGGAGCACACCAGCTCCCAGATCCCCCCTGTGTGGATGCCTTGAAACTTTGCACAGATTCCCCATGTTTGTCTGCCTCATAACTTTGCACATTCAATCCCTGCAAACTCCAGGACTTGGCTTTCTACCTGGCATCCTCAGCCTGCATAAATTCTGTCATCTCCACATGATTTCCTCAGCTTCTGAATGATTATTGTAAGACACCAAATAGCTTGGCTCAAGCTTTGGTCTGGTCAAGCTCTCCTCACCACAACCACCAAAGAAATGGATTGTCGGACTGCACAACCTTTTCTAGGTGGGAACCACACACCAATTTCAAAAAATAATGGTGGGCACCTATGCACACCATTTGTTTTGGTATGAAGGTGTGTGTGATGATGGGGAGAGTGTGATTATCACTCCCCAGTTTCCTCACATATGTTTTTTATCTTTGAGATCAGGTTTGCCGAGTAAAAGGAACTTCCCAAAATCCCAGACCATGATTTTGGTAGTGTATCCTCTGGGATGAATTACAATTGCTGATGAACCAGAAATTAGATGCTCTGGAATTTGTGAGCTCATAAACAACAGAGAATTCACTGAAATACAAGCTCAAAGGGGGTCTGATTTGGGGTGATGAACTAACTTGAGGAACAAGAAAGAAGGAGAAATGAAGGAAAGGAACAAGGCAGGACAAACCCCTTTTGTAATCCAAGGGCAAGGGTTTAAAGCTGTGGTGCTTAACTATATATCCTGGCCAAAAGTGGGGGGATGAAAGCAATTACCCAAAATAACACAACAGTCTTAGAGCAATAGGAATCTTCTGGCTGAACTCTTCTTGCTTGTTCTTCTAATCGTAGTTCATTGTTCCTATGAATCCAATTTTCGGGCCTTGTTTTGCAAATTGGGCACTCTGTTACTTTAATTGTTTCAAGGCATTCAACATGGAATCGGTGATTGCACCCAATTGGAGATGGAGGACCGGTGTATGGCTCAATTGCCTGAGCACAAAGACTACATGTTTCTTCTGCATTTCCAGGCATCAATTGACCCATTAGAAAACATTTATGAAGAGCTCAGATGAAGATTTCTCAAGTACCCACCCCTAGCAGCTCTCCTCACCAGCCTTTCATGAGAAAGAATCCCCAGGGAATCAATACTTTCTTTCTAGATTCACTCAGATAGATGTGTACACCCAGATTGGTAAGCGTCAAAACACAAGAATTGATAAAATATAATTGTGAATTTTTATTTGAATATAACTCACCTTTTGACAATTGAAATTAGGTTCCAAGTGAACACCTATCTCTTTAAATGGTTCTGGTAGCTTTGGTGACCTGTCAGAAACTTTCATTTCAGAGTGTCTGGCAACCAGCTATAAAGATAAACATCTGTTTAATTCAGAGATATCCAAATTATGTAAGGGATTTCAGAAAAAACTAACCATGATGATAAGAAAATAGGGGAAAATTTTGATTGATGTGGATTTAAAAAGCATTCTAGATACCAATTGCTAAAGCAAGTTTAAATTCTTTGAAATTTTATCACCAAGGCTTGATGCAAGTGTGACAAAGAAAAACAACCCACTTTTTCACTGCCCTTTTATAGTAATTGGAAGTCAAAGCCAGCCAACAAAATAAAGGCTTGAAGAGCAAAACACAACCAGTGTTTTTCCAACTGTTTGCTTGCTGCAGGAGTATGCCTGAACTGTAAATGAGATTGGATGAAAAAATTATTTCATATATAGTCATTGGAAGAAGGTTTGGTGGAGCAATCAAGAAAGTCAGATGATCTACTTATTATGGGTGAAGCCTTGGAGGGGAGAGGTAAAACTGACACAATCCTCTTGGGCTAGACCCAATTATGAGGCTGAGACCATACAGTTCAAACAAATGTGAATTTAGAGTGAAGTTCTTTGAGATATCATTATCAGGCCTTATTGAGAGCCTATCATGACACTGAATTGTCTCTGAGTCTTTTTGAATATAGGCCTTATCTGAGTCAGAGGGATGTATTTTTTGGTTTGAACCATCAAATTGCTAAATTATTCCCCCCAAAAGTTTATAATACCACTCTCAAACAAGTTGTCAGTGCTGGTCTCTTATGTGACCAGGTGCTGATAGGGTTTAGGTTCACACTATAATCACAGAAGTGATCAGTGGAAGATAACCTCACCTCCACCTCAAAACTCCATAGTGGAGGGGCTTGCTCCTTATAAATATTAGGAAAAACAGTGGAATGAGCTTCACTGTGTCTGAGCAATGAGAATCCAAGGGAAATAGAGTTGTAAGTAGTCTATAAAGTTAAAGTCTTAACCATTATAGACTAGTGATGAATACGATTCATCTGTAAATGGTTTTATATGCTACTGCAAATGTGAAATGAATTTAGCTCTTGTTTTATATTTGATAGTTCATATTAAAGTGTTTATATTTCAATTTCATGTTGATAAACAACTGACATTGTTTTTATCTTTCATTCTAGAACCAAAATTCATTTATCTGAAAATATATGGATATCTTATCTTGGGTTTACTTTGAACAATAATTTTTATACAGGGTTGAGTTTGACATATGATCATTTTCAATTTTTCTCATCTATGGCAAAATGAAGCTCTGGGTTCATTTGAATTTTGAAAGTTTGAGATACAGATCTCTGAATCCACATTCAAAAATTGAATTCATAGATATTCAAATGTTGTTCCTGGCCAGATTTAATTGCACCTGATGTGATTTGTCACCAAGAGTGTCTAAAACATTAAACACAAATTGGGAAAAAAGTTCTTTGGCTCAATTTAGACTTTTTTCTGATTGTGGAGCAGCTTTTGGTTGTTGAAATATAAAACATGTCAAAATTCCCCTCTCTGATCTCTGTGCCCTTTGGCTCAATTCCCTGCTCTGTCCGCTTTGCTTTTCTTTCTCTATCTCTACCCTTGTTTATATCTGTTTCATCTATTCTCATTTCTTCCCCTTACTTCTCTCAAATTCCTACAAATCTGTCCTCCAGCTGTCAAATCATCTTCAAAACCACAAGTGGATTGGCTCATCAAAATTCTTCCCAGACACAAACCACAAGAAGGGCTCCAACTTGATTCACTATAAAAAATTCCTCCTCTCAAGACCACCTCCCAATTCCCAGCAGCTCTCTTATTGAACTTCAACACTTAATCTTTTCCCCAATCTTACTCTAGCCTAATCTGATTGGCCTTATGAACCCTAAAAATCTCCTCAAAAACTCAACCAGCATACATCCTCAACATCCCTCTTGACTTCTGTATATTATTATCCCTAATTCTCTATCTCTTTTCCTATTCTCCCTTGTCAAACAATCCTATCAATCTTGAAAACATCTCAACATCTACTCAGTTCAATCCTCTTCACTATTGATTGCTCAAATTTATTGACTTACCGGTTTTAATTTCCTTTTTTTCTTTGTCTGAATCAGTTCTTACTACTTGTCCTTATTTGATCTCATACATCTCAGTCTGTCAGTTCTGCTTCCTTTAAAATATAATCTTGTTGTGGTATGCCCTTTTTTGTTATTCTATTTCTCTCAATACTCTTCATATTGTTTGTTATCATCGTATCCCAAACCCTGGTTGGTTTGGGAGGATTGAATCCCAAACTGACCAGGTTCTTTTGAATATCTTTTTTAGGGAGCTGGCTTCCAAACCAGTCAAACGCTTTGGGGGTTTGACTCCCAAATTTTGGGGATTTTGGGGCTTGGGAGTCACTTTTGGGAGCCATTTAACCCAGCCCCTATATATATTTGTCTGATATATTAAATGTTAACTGTTGCAGCAACAGTGGGCCAGTTATGCTAACCACAGTGTTAGTGTGGCGTAACGTAGTGGAATTAGCTAAGCCTTAGCATAGTGTAGCGGAATTCTGCCATGTCTGTGCCAACACTACATGTGTAGGCCATAAAAAAGAGCCCACTATGCTGTGCTAACATGCTGGTTGGTAGCAATTTGGCCCTGCAGCGCTGCTAGCAACCTGTATTGCAGTGTAGCAAAAACCCTCTAAAAAAGGGTTAATACTACAGGATTTTGGTCCAAAAAAAGTGCCACTACGCTAATCCTTTTTGGGAAAAAAGTGTAGCAGCCCATTGTTGGTTTTAGTGCTGGAGTCAACTCAAATTTAAATTTTGACCTGTGTGCCTGAACTCAGAATTGTTTTTGGTTCAATTTTTTCATTTATTATTATTTTTCCCCTGATGTCATGGACATGCAATCCTTCCCACTATTCAGTTTTTTTTGGAACAATATTAAAAATTCCTCAAAGAATGATTAATTGTGATTTTTTTTGCAAATTTTGGAAATCATTGTTTCACATTTTTATTTTCAGAATCATTGTTTGAAATTGAAACCCTTTTTGCACCACTTCACCAAGTCTCATCATTTGAAGATTGTAGGTTGAAGTTTGGGAAGGAAAAACAATGTGGCCATAATTTTGAGTAACCCACTGTGCATTATCAGATCTCACAACTAAAAGCAGCTGGTTTGCAAGGGGTAAAACTTGGGAGAAATACAATTACCTGGGACATTATCGCGTATAAGTTTTCTCCTAAGTGGAATGCGGCTATGCTTGTTGGGACAGGAGTCATCTGAAGAAGGGGATTCGTTCGGGCAGATTTGGCTTATCATTTCCGGTGGATTTCTGGATGGGCTTGGTTGATGTGAAGTCTGTCCGGAAAATAAGGAGAGGAAAGAGAAAGTTGGAGGACTCCTTCAGATTCCCAAAGAGTACCACCCAAAGCTGACCTGACTGGACCCCTGTCGGTGTCCGATCGGGGCCATGAGCTGCGAATCTTGCGGTGCCGGCTCCCCCTTTCTCCCCGGAAAGCATGATGTATTGGCACAGGTTGATCAGCACTTAAACTCCTGGAGCAGACCCCATCAATCCATCGCATCTTGTCCCGAGATCAAGAAAACCCCAAGCAGTAAGCGATCACATAATATTACTACTGCGATGTCTTTGATGCACACTATCGAGATTGCAAGCTGACTCTTTTTCATCCTTTGCCGTTCTTGCTGCTGTACAGCTCGCCCGTCCCACCACACCTTGGGCCCCAAGCCCCTCATCATTAGCCTTTCTTACGATACATATTATCTCTCCTTGACGTCATGGTTGGCGGTCTGACACGAAACCGATTCGGAAACCTCCTCTCAGTCAAGGGCTTGAGAGATGTGTGTTAACAATTTTTTTTGGTTCTCCTCGGCGCCAGTTTTTGGGAGCTCGGATAATTCGATAACTGATATCTGTTTGCTGTACTCATATCCCTTGTTTCGAACAGCTCGTCTTCTGGTACGTCGTGTGGAAGTATTTCATCTCGTTTTACCGTCATCTGCGTGCAAGAGGGATCAGGAAAACCATCAATGAAACCTATATACAACTAGCAACCGTAATTTCCATCAACTTTCTTCCTCGATGTCTTTTTCTTAAATTCTGGGCTTCATTTGGCTAACTTGAATCCGATCAATTTCTTGCACGTGTTCTCCCTATGTAATATACAGTTTGGCTTTAAATGTGCACTCCGAATTCCATCCATCAATCGTAAAGTGACCAGTCAACTGGATGATGCATCCGCCGATATGGAGAAGAAACTGGCGCCCAAAGGACCTGGGATCGTTAGATGGCTCGAGTTACCAAAGGATGGTAAATCAGCTGAATGGCTGAAAGATGAACTTGATTCACTCTCTCGATTACCTTCATCAAACTGGCAGTCCGGTAAGGTCTCGGGTACAGTTTACCATGGTGGAGAAGAACTCGAACATGTCATCAGCTCCGCTATGAACAAGTACATTATCAGTAACCCTCTCCATCCAGACGTTTTTCCTGGGGTGCGAAAGATGGAAGCCGAAGTCGTCAAAATGGTTCTCGAGCTGTTCAATGCGCCCCCTGAGGCTGGCGGGACGGTCACCAGTGGGGGCACTGAGTCGATTCTCATGGCTTGCAAGAGTTATCGGGACTGGGCACGGGATGTTAAGGGTATTACCGAACCGGAGATGATTGCGCCCAACAGCATCCATGCGGCATTCGACAAGGCTGCTCACTACTTCGGCATCAAGATCCACTACATTCGCGTCGATGAGAAAACTCGCAAGGTGGACATTGCACGGGTCAAACGTGCAATTAATCCCAACACAGTCATGGTCCGTTGTCTGAGCAGTACACCCAACTCATAACAATCGAGCAACTGAAGATGATTTTTGTATGTGTGTTTTGTTCCCTTGACATTCTACCAGCTTTGCGGCTCGGCGCCCAACTACCCAGACGGCGCGATTGATGATATTACCGCATTGGGTAAGCTGGCGAAGAAATATAACCTTGGCCTACATGTCGATTGCTGTCTTGGCTCCTTCCTTGTACCATTTGTGGAGCAATGTGGTTTCCCAATGGACCCATTTGACTTCCGGGTAGAAGGAGTCACTTCCATCTCTTGCGATACTCATAAGGTATTTATTCCTTTCTACCATACCCCAGACAACTGCAATTCGCGTCTAATTGATCTTGCGTAGTATGGGTTCGCACCAAAAGGCAACAGTGTGATTATGTGTTAGTTCGCATTGTTTTATTGGGTGCCCATGGAATGCTGTGTTCACGACCTCTCTTTTTTAAATCAGACCGGACCTCGAAATGGCGCGAGTACCAATACACTGTCTTTCCTACTTGGCCTGGAGGCGTATTTGGTAAGACGATCCTCATTCAATGTTCACAGTAAAGTTGATCACTAATGATTGTTTTTCAACATTTTTGCAGCTTCACCTTCGATCGCAGGATCACGACCGGGCTCAATCATTGCGGGAACATGGGCTGCACTGATGTATATGGGAAAGGAAGGGTACTTGGAAAGCTGTCGATCAATCGTCGGAGCTGCCAAAAGATTGGAAAAGGCTATCAGAGAAGAAATCCCTGAATTGGAAGTGCTGGGGAAACCATTAGTTTCTGTGGTCGCTTTTAAGGACAAAAAAGGAATGGGCGTAAATATCTATCAACTCGGTGATTACCTTGGCTCTAAAGGGTGGCACCGTGAGTTTTTTTTTCTCTCTTTTTGGCTTTGATCAGATTTTTCGCTTTCTTTATCTGTTTTGAAGGGACTTACAATTTCTTGTTCTACAGTGACTGCATTACAATTTCCCCCCGCCTTGCATATCGCGTGTACCAAGCCGACAACAACAGCAATTGATACTCTGATCCAAGATCTGAAAGAAGGTGTGGCATCTGTTAAAGGCGACAAAGATGGCGGTAAAGGAGACATGGTCACGCTTTATGGTGAGATATCTGCTCAACGCGTCCAGTATTTGTGTGTACGTGTGCGATGTTGACTGAACGCTGTTCTCTTTTGGCATATTATTTGCAGGTTTGGGTAGTTCTAGTGCTGTGGGCCCAGGATTGGTCGGTGACCTGGCTAGGAGATATCTAGATACGCTTTATTCTGCTTGAGGTTATATAAATCTTCTTGCTGGTACAACGTCGCAATTCATCTTTCTTCAGTCCAGAACGTTGCACCACTTCCACATGTGCAGGTTATCTCACACGTATTTGCGGTCGGGGGGATAGCATTTTAAGGGGACATGATGTCTGCCAATGTGACATATCCCCTCCCTCCTACTTGTGAAGTAGTAAGACGCTGGGTGCGTTGTACCAACTAGCCTGGGAGGTACCTATGTCTTGTGTCACAATCTCCACAAATTATAAGAGATGATTTTCTTTATTTGTTTTCAAGAAGAAAATTCATGGACATATTATATATGGCTTGAGGAAGAATACAGCTTGGTTATGATTTCAAGTAAAGAAATAGTTAAGTAATACAAAAAACAAGATTGTGAAGAAAAAGACAAAGCAATTCCAAGAAAGAAGATGGGAAGGATTGATTGAGATGGTATCGGTGCATCTCTAGAAACAGTTGGGTTGGACAAAAATGCATCTGATTAGCAATCATATTTGCTGATGTGAGGAAGTAATCCAAGGGAAGGCTTGCCTGATCTCTTATCCTTCTCTTGTTTTGTTGAGCCGAGGCATTGAGTGCTTCGGCATTTTCTCATACAACCACAGACAGCCTAGCTGAGAAGGCAACCATTAGTAGTGACTTGAGCGTATTCATATCAATGTATTGAGATCATAACTTACCATCGTTGGTATTAAGAATTGTTTAAAAAACGTCGGTCAAAGGAGAGCGAAGTCATGACTTATGAATTCAACGGGCAAGGAAAAAGATCAAGCAAATCAGAAAGAATATGGCGTGGGGAGTCTGAAGGCTAACATTATTTGAATTGACCTACCTCTCAGTGAATTTGAAGAAAAAGTAATACAAAATTTGTATAGATGAGAAAGATATCGGAGATCGAGTCTGTTTGAAGGAAGTCGGCGCAGACAGAAGGCAAAAAGGTTGGAAGACTTGATTGGATATCATGAGAGGATAGACTATGAGAAACTCACAAGAATTCAGTTTGAGTCGTCGTCGCCAACCTCAGCATATACCACCTCAATGTGAAAGTTAGTCCCCTTGACAGCAAAGAGCTTCATTCCCTTGGAGGTGAAGCGGTATTGGTGGGAGGCACTGCGAGTGAGGTAGGGGGCCTGACGTGCATCTGAAAGGTTGATGAGGATGCATTGTTTTGGGGTGCATCCGGTAGCACCAAAGAGAGTGGGGTTAGCGGGTCTTGGACCGGAGGGGGCTAGGGGGGATGAAAGTGGAGGAGTGTAGGAGGGAGCCATGGTTAGGAAACCGGTGGAGTGGGAGGGGAAGGAGGGGGATTGGACTGGTGTGCTGGGAGGAGAGGACGAGATGACAGTGGTCTTTTATATCCCAAAACGCAGCAGCAAGGGCTCAGCAGCCTTGAGAGCAGCACCAACCTCCCGGCCAGCAGGATTACAGTCCCTCAACAGCAGTGACACTACATAGCAGCATTCCAGCTCCGTTGTAGCTGAGCCTTTGTCGGAGAGTTTTTGAAGTGTGGCAAACACAAAGGCCCGGCGTTACAGTCGTGTCTGTTCAGCACCTGGGTCCTTGTTGCCACAATATCAATCCGTGTATGAATTCCCCATGGCCAACATGTAGATAGAAAAGTATGCGTGTCACTCCATTCGGCCTGCGGTCACCTACCAAAATGATCTGAAGGGTAGGTGGTAGCGAGCCTTTTCTTTGAATTGGTTTGTATGATTTATTTCAGCAAGACGCAGACCAATCAAATAAAACCATCAAAACTACAGATTGCAGAGAATCACGAGAGGAAGATAGACCGAGATCACAAGAAAGAGAGAATTAAGATCACAAAATAGAGATCACAGAAAATTGGGAAGAGATCACAGAAAAACAGCAAGGATTACAGAAAATCACAGGACTCACAACAAGTAGAGCTATCTGTCATGGCAGTTTGCCATTGCTTCTGGATTCATCTGTTATGTTAGCCTTTACACCGTCTGTGATGTTGGTGATGTTGGAGGGTCAGGGTGGTGCGCTGCCACACTCCGGACCAGCTGCAGTCAAGTTTGTGGTCGCGTTTAGCGCGTTTTTTGGTTGGTCAGGAGCCAATGAAGCTGGTTTGGGGTTTGCTGAGGGGGCTGGGGTCGGCCCGCCGGGAGAGGGTGTGAGGCCTTGAGGCAAGATCAAGGACTTGGGACTCCGGAGCTGTGGGTGTGGATGGTGGGGCGCTCAGAACTTATCCACTCATAGCCCTTAGAGCAACATGACTGATGCTCAATGAATTGACACCCAGATACATGGGCGAAGATTCAGAGAGACACAGTCACAAATCATTGATCGGGGTGTCAGGAAGCGCGGACGTGAAGTTCCCTTATCTGATCAGCTCAGATCATAAAAAAACTCTACAATTTTGGGTGGCTGACTGAAAAATGTTTTGCCGACTTGAAACCGGAGTGAGGTTATGATTTCAAGTAAAGAAATGGTAATACAAAAAACAAGATTGTGAAGAAAAAGACAAGGCAATTCCAAGAAGGAAGATGGGAAGGATTGATTGAGATGGTATCGGTGCATCTCTAGAAACAGTTGGGTTGGGCAGAAATGGATCTGATTAGCAATCATATTTGCTGATGTGAGGGAGTAATCCAAAGGAAGGCTTGCCTGATCTCTTATCCTCCTTGTGTGTCATTGAGCCAAGGCATTGAGTGCTTCGGCATTTTCTCATACAACCACAGACACCCTAGCTGAGAAGGCAACAATTAGTAGTGACTTGAGCGTATTCTTATCAATGTATTGAGATCATAACTTACCATCGTTGGTATTAATAATTGTTTAAAAATTGGCGGTCAAAGGAGAGCAAAGTCATGACTTATGAATTCAATGGCCAAGGAAAAAGATCAAGCAAATCAGAAAGAATAGGGTGTGGGGAGTCTGAAGGCTAACATTATTTGAATTGACCTACCTCTTAGTGAATTTGAAGAAAAAGTAGTACAAGATTTGTATAGATGAAAAAGATATCGGAGATCGAGTCTGTTTGAAGGAAGTCGGCGCAGACAGAAGGCAAAAAGGTTAGAAGACTTGATTGGATATCATGAGAGGATAGACTATGAGAAGCTCACAAGAATTCAGTTTGAGTCGTCGTCGCCAACCTCAGCATAAACCACCTCAATGTGAAAGTTAGTCCCCTTGACAGCAAAGAGCTTCATTCCCTTGGAGGTGAAGCGGTATTGGTGGGAGGCACTGCGAGTGAGGTAGGGGGCCTGACGTGCGTCTGAAAGGTTGATGAGGATGCATTGTTTTGGGGTGCATCCGGTGGCACCAAAGAGAGTGGGGTTAGCGGGTCTTGGCCCGGAGGGGCTAGGGGGGATGAAAGTGGAGGAGTGTAGGAGGGATCCATGGATAAAAAACCGGTGGAGTGGGAGGGGAGGGAGGAGGATTGGACCGGCGTGCTGAGAGGAGAGGATGAGATGACAGTGGTGATCATTGGCAGTCTTTTATATCCCAAAACGCAGCAGCAAGGGCTCAGCAGCCATGAGAGCAGCACCAACCTCCCGGCTCAGCAGGATTACAGTCCCTCACTAGTACATAGCAGCATTGCAGCTCCGTTGTAGCTGAGCCTTTGTCGAGAAATTTTTGAAGTTTAGCAAACACAAAGGCCCGGTGTTACAGTTGTGTCTGCTCAACACCTGGGTCCTTGATGCCACAATAACAATCGGTGTATGAATTCCCCATGGCCAACATGCAGATATAAAACCATGCGTGTCACTCCATTCGGCCTGCGGTCACCTACCAAAATGATCTGAAAGGTAGGTGGTAGCGAACCTTTTCTTTGAATTGGTTTGTATGAGTTATTTCAGTAAAACACAGATCAATTAAATACAACCATCAAAACTACAGATTGCAGAGAGTCACGAGAGGGAGATAGACCGAGATCACAAGAAAGAGACAATTAAGATCACAAAATAGAGATCACAGAAAATTGGGAAGAGATCACAGAAAAACAGCAAGGATTACCGAAAATCACAGGACTCGCAACAAGTAGAGCTATCTGTCATGGCAGTTTGCCATTGCTTCTGGATTCATCTGTTATGTTAGCCTTTACACCGTCTGTGATGTTGGTGATGTTGGAGGGTCAAGGTGGTGCGCTGCCACACTCTGGACCAGCTGCAGTCAAGTTTGTGGTCGCGTTTAGCGCGTTTTTTGGTTGGTCAGGAGCCAATGAAGCTGGTTTGGGGTTTGCTGAGGGGGCTGGGGTCGGTCCGCCGGGAGAGTGTGAGGCCTTGAGGCAAGATCAAGGACTTGGGACTCCGGAGCTGTGGGTGTGGATGGTGGGGCGCTCAGAACTTATCCACTCATAGCCCTTACAGCAACATGACTGATGCTCAATGAATTGACACCCAGATACATGGGCAAAGATTCAGAGAGACACATTCACAAATCATTGATCGGGGTGTCAGGGAGCGCGGACGTGAAGTTCCCTTATCTGATCAGCTCAGATCATAAAAAAACTCTACAATTTTGGGTGGCTGACTGAAAAATGTTTTGCCGACTTGAAACCGGCGTGAGGTTATGATTTCAAGTAAAGAAATGGTAATACAAAAAACAAGATTGTGAAGAAAAAGACAAAGCAATTCCAAGAAGGAAGATGGGAAGGATTGATTGAGATGGTATCGGTGCATCTCTAGAAACAGTTGGGTTGGACAAAAATGCATCTGATTAGCAATCATATTTGCTGATGTGAGGGAGTAATCCAAGGGAAGGCTTGCCTGATCTCTTATCCTCCTTGTGTGTCATTGAGCCGAGGCATTGAGTGCTTCGGCATTTTCTCATACAACTACAGACACCCTAGCTGAGAAGGCAACCATTAGTAGTGACTTGAGCGTATTCATATCAATGTATTGAGATCATAACTTACCATCGTTGGTATTAATAATTGTTTAAAAATTGGCGGTCAAAGGAGAGCAAAGTCATGACTTATGAATTCAATGGCCAAGGAAAAAGATCAAGCAAATCAGAAAGAATAGGGTGTGGGGAGTCTGAAGGCTAACATTATTTGAATTGACCTACCTCTTAGTGAATTTGAAGAAAAAGTAGTACAAGATTTGTATAGATGAAAAAGATATCGGAGATCGAGTCTGTTTGAAGGAAGTCGGCGCAGACAGAAGGCAAAAAGGTTGGAAGACTTGATTGGATATCATGAGAGGATAGACTATGAGAAGCTCACAAGAATTCAGTTTGAGTCGTCGTCGCCAACCTCAGCATAAACCACCTCAATGTGAAAGTTAGTCCCCTTGACAGCAAAGAGCTTCATTCCCTTGGAGGTGAAGCGGTATTGGTGGGAGGCACTGCGAGTGAGGTAGGGGGCCTGACGTGCGTCTGAAAGGTTGATGAGGATGCATTGTTTTGGGGTGCATCCGGTGGCACCAAAGAGAGTGGGGTTAGCGGGTCTTGGCCCGGAGGGGGCTAGGGGGGATGAAAGTGGAGGAGTGTAGGAGGGAGCCATGGTTAGGAAACCGGTGGAGTGGGAGGGGAGGGAGGAGGATTGGACTGGCGTGCTGGGAGGAGAGGACGAGATGACAGTGGTCTTTTATATCCCAAAACGCAGCAGCAAGGGCTCAGCAGCCTTGAGAGCAGCACCAACCTCCCGGCTCAGCACTACATAGCAGCATTCCAGCTCCGTTGTAGCTGAGCCTTTGTCGGAAAGTTTGTGAAGTGTGGCAAACACAAAGGCCCGGCGTCACAGTCGTGTCTGTTCAGCACCTGGGTCCTTGTTGCCACAAAAACAATCCGTGTATGAATTCCCCATGGCCAACATGCAGATAGAAAACTATGCGGGTCACTCCATTCGGCCTGCGGTCACCTACCAAAATGATCTGAAGGGTAGGTGGTAGCGAGCCTTTTCTTTCAATTGGTTTGTATGATTTATTTCTGTAAGACGTAGATCAATCAAATACAACCATCAAAACTAGAGATCGTAGAGAATAACGAGATAGAGATTACAGAGAGAGACCGAGATCACAAGAAAGAGAGAATTAAGATCACAAAATAGAGATCACAGAAAATTGGGAAGAGATTGCAGAAAAACAGCACGAATTACAGAAAATCACAGGACTCACAACAAACAGAGCTATCTGTCATGGCAGTGATATTTGCATTGCTTCCGGATTCACCTGTTATGTTAGCCTTCACGCCGCCTGAGATGTTGGTGATGTTGGAGGGTCAGGGTGACCCTGGACCAGCTACAGTCGAGTTTGTGGTCGCGTTTATCGCGTTTTCCGGTTGGCCAGAAGCCGATGGAGCTGGTTTGGGGTTTGCTGATGGAGCTGGGGTCGGCCCGCCGGGAGAGGGTGTGAGGAAGAGACCCGTCGGTTGAGTTGCTGGTGCACTCCATCCCCCCACCACCAGGTGCGGCATCGGCGGGGGGTTCTAGCGTCCGCGGCCCCGTCGGGCTAGCCGGCTGAGCCTTGAGGCGATTGGGAAATGATGCGGTTTGGAAGATTATGGACTTTAGACTCCGGAGCTGTGGGTGTGGATGGTGGGACGCTAAGAACTTCTTATCCAATCATAGCGCTTACAGCAACATGACTGATGCTCAATGAATTGGCACCCAGATACATGCGCAGAGATTCAGAAAGACACATTCACGGTTCATTGATCGGGGAGCGCGGACGTCAAGTTCCCTTATCAGATCAGCTCAGATTATAAAAAACGCTACAATTTTGGATGACTGACTGAAAAATGTTCAGCCGACTTGAAACCGGCCTGACCGCGTCGCTGGCCCTCAGAAACTCAATCATGGGACGCAAAGCAACCTTGGTCGCGTGTCTGGTTATCTGACGAACGCGCAGGTTTCCTTTCTTAGGGTTCAGACAACCTCAGGGTATCAACTTGAATGAAGATGATAATCTATCTATCTATTATCAAGGAGCATGATCCAGCAGTGATTATTCTTTGGGAGTGATAATTGAGATTAGGCTTCGTCACAAGTGATTAATTACTAATCTGCCACAAGGTGAATGAAACGTGTCTATGAAATTTTTCGTAATTCCTGTAAACAGGCGATCTTGGGCAATTAAAATAAGACGTGGAAACGCGATTTTTCTGGGGGCATGGGGTACTACCTAGCCTGGTGAACTGAAAGCGAGGGAAAATAAGAAAATGAATGGAGAAGATGATAAGTTGATCACAAGATAATTATAGAAGAGGTCCACAGAGAAGACGGGGTGCGCCATTTAGACGGGGCCTGCTGAAGATTGGCTCCCAGTGGGGTTGTTGCTGGAACGGCGTGACGAGTAAACATATTGGAATCAGATAATGGGGCGAATATTGAAAGACATGGAATACAACTTACAAGTCCCATGTGAAACCGCCATAAAGGAAGTTGGAGTGAGGAGTGGTTTCGTTTGGGAAGATTGCGAGCTTCGCGGCAAGCTAAAAACATTAACAAAATAGTCAACAATCTGTGCTCGCTGGATAAGCGGGAAGACAGCTTCTGACCGATCGTGTGACTCCGATTTCAAAGCAGCCTTGTTCTTCGGTGACTGCGTGGAAAGAACAACCTGCAAAGGGAGCGATGGCTTTAGAAGGCTGGAGAAGTCTTATTTGAACAAGTCAACCGATTGTAGACATACCATCAAGAACTGGGACGTAATGAACGGTCTTTGGGTCATTGCGTCTTTGGATGTATCTGGAAAATTTGACGATCTGTCAAGATGCGATCGAATAGCTATTGGCGCCCGAAAATGTGGACTTACACTTGTTTGCGGCAGTTGGAGTCCTTGCGGCTACATGATCACGAAGGAGTCAATACCATATAGCTTGTGATCCGAAAGTTCTTCAAGTGCGCACCTATTTAACCATCCGGCCGATTCGAAGGTGGGGTTAGTTTGCTCCGGTCCGCTCCACAGACATACTCCATCCACTTTGTTGGTGTCGTAATATCCACAGATCTGTGCAAGCAAAGCGGGTTTAGTCCATCGGGTCAAAAAAAAAAAATCAGAAAGAGTACAAAACGTACACCATGCCCAGTATTCATCTTCGGGATCTGCGAGAACCACAGAATTTGAAAGAAGTGAACAAAGTCAGCGCCGGGATAGGCTTGAGTTCCCCGAATGAAAAGTGCCTGACATCTATATGGGTGTCGTATCGGCGCTCCAGCGGAGGCTTCGTGTGATGTCCCTGATTCTGAGGATGGTGTCCCTGCTTGGGGTGGTGTCCTGGCTGTCCATGGCGCCCGGGGACGTTGTGGTGGTTTCCTTGGCGCCCGGGGACGTTTTGGTAGCCGGGTCCTTGGCGGCCGGGGACTTTGTGGTGGGGTCCCTGAGGCAGTGGGTGTTGTCCTTTTTTAGGTTTAGGCGGCAATCCAAACTAGCAGATCGTGGAGAAATGTGAAAAGTGAAGTTCAATCAGCCTTGGGTTATAGATGAGGGCAAAGTCCGATGGTATTCGTAGAGAGAGAGAGATTAGCGGCGAGGGAGGGAGACGAGGGGGCGTGAAACTAACTGCTGGGACGGGACTGCTTTGATATTTGGCCTTAGCTCCACATCGGTATTGGCTGCCTGCTGCACCGTTGACACATCCATCCTTGTGCAAAAAGTAATTGAAGCACATCGTATGGATCGTGGCGTCCACAGTGACCATGGACAGTGCAAGGAGCACAAGACAAGTTAAACCGTTCATGTTGGGTGGGTAAGAACTACTAGGGAGTGGACGCGTACAACGACAGACTAAAATTAATTTATAAATGGTTATCAAAAGGAAATCAAGAAGCAGTTGCAAAGGACCTGTGCTGAGGGATGAAGGTCGAAAGTTGCCAGCACGAGAGGAATGGCTGCCTCATATATCATTCCCATTTCGATGCCAAAGTGAATTCTGTTGGTGAATTTGAAGCTGGCGCCTCTGAACACATGACGGCTCCCTTGTACGGGTGTGGCTTAAGGTGCGGCGACAAAGAAATATGATTGAACGAGTGGGCAAAGGTTCGTGACACTTGAACACATTGGGCATACAGTGTCTGTACCACAAGATCTATGTATTCTCAACAGATCCCATCAGATCCCAACATCAGAGAGCGTGTTGCTCATCGAGTCATCGGGAAGCATCGTGAAGCTTCTCACCACGCGATTTATGCTTAGAAATCTTCCGTTTCTTGAGCACACAGGTACAAGCTTACAGGAGGTGTACATACCGTCGGCGGACTCGCCCAGGACAAGGGCTGTATGGAGTCGTGATTGCAATCGCATTCAGCACAACTGATTAAAAAGTGGCAGGTTCTGGCAGATCGGAAGAACCATGGTCCAGGGAAAACTTCGTCCAGCTTTGTGGTTGGCGGGTTGCTGCTGGCTGGGATGCTGAGAATTCGTGTCGGGTTCTCCATCCATCTTCTTGAAAGTAGGCAAGGTTAAACTTTAGCTTGTCTGCGGCACCCTGATCAGGGACGATTTCCCTCCGAAAACACCTTTTTTTTGGGATTAAGTTGACTATCAGAGCATCCTTATTTTTTTCGAACGGGTCTGTTCTTGCGCGCAGGAGTTTGAAAAGTATTTTTTAGGAGGAAAAATTGGCACATCCTTCCGAAGAAGGACTTCCAAAAAAACAGACCACAGCAAAAAACCCGCCTCTCGGTGAGAAAAATGCATCCTGGAGTTTCCCTTAATGTCGGCCACACATGATTCTTACCTGGTAAACGATCTCTCATCCCAACCTGAACCAGTGTGGTTGGGAGGATTGGATTTAGGCAGCTACTCTTGCCTAATCCGCATACCGATGCGGATGCGCTCATAAATCTCAATTGTATAGATGCTTTATTTTGTCTGGTGGCATCTATGTAGTTGTTGTCTGAATGGACTTGAGCGACAATTGACAAGTCAAGGGAAGATTGCGACACCCCTTCGTCCAGAAAGAAACCAAACTCCAAAGAACCGCTCGACGAACCACCAAGAATTTTATGTACATATATATGTATGTACCGGAAAAGCTAAGAAAAAAGGGTGATTGATTAGATTGCAGATAATATGTAGTATTACAAAAGAATATGGACTCAATCAACAAGAGTATTTATGATATCTAAGTAGTGTTACGAGGTAAAGATTCAGTCATGTGTATTAAACAACAAACTAGAATCAGTCAATGAAAACAAAAGGAATAATAATAATAAAAACAGAAATAAAAACAAGACTGATAAAACGATTCTAAGGATGGGGGCAATAGAGATAAAACAAAGGAATCAATACAGGCGAATGGTAATAACAAGTAGTGCAAGAGTGTGAAAAGCGGCATTCATCCGCAAAAAAGAAGACCATGTAGTTAAGATTCAAGAGCCTCCAAAACGAAATCGTGTCTATAGCCAAGGAGGCCTCGAATTCGAGAGAGAGAGAGAGAGCTTGTGAAGGAGAAGTCGGCTAAGGAGGAACGAAGGTCAGGGGATCCGCCAGGAATCGGGGCCGGTTTGTCGGAGCTGCAGGTGGCGGAGGACGGCTTGGACGGCTTGGGGATGGACGGCCTTCCAGAGCTCGTCCCGGGCGAGATTCCTGAGGATATGATTGGCAGAGACGACAGGGGAGACCGGATGGTCGGAGGAGGAGGGAGGAGGAAGACGATTGATGATCTGGATGATCTTCGGGCCAAGACTGGAGACGTTGGGCAGCGCAAACCGACGCTCGTCCTTGGGAGAAATGATGATCGTGCCTTGGTTGACCAAGGCTTGAATGGCCCGAGTGACCATCGCCTTGCTTGTGCCCAGTCTTCTCCGCGACAAACGAGGGTTATCACCGTCGGTTAGGAAGATGCTTTGCTGCTTCTTGTGCCGGTCAGGTTCTGAGACTTGGCTCTCTGATCGCTCTTGGGTCGGTTGGCTGATCAGTTTCTCGGTGAACTTGCGCATTTCGGATCGGAGACTAGAGTGGCGATCATCCTCCCGACCCTCAGCCAAGAGATCTTCGATCGAAAAGTCTTGCAATACGATCGGCTCCGAGCAATCCATCTTCCTCTTCAATTCATGATAGCTGAAGTCGCCATTACTGGCGGTGTTAAGATCATGCTGATCGTATCGGGACACGATGTAATGACTTACATAGTTCAAATAATTTGAGAACGTGATCTGCTGCGAAGTTAGTCTAGAAACCGGCGGTAACTTCAACCGTCTGGGTTCTTTCTCTTTTTCGACTGTTTGCTTAAAATTTACAAAGATTCCCGTCAGAAGAGGGAAAATAGAGATAATCAGTCAATTGAAAAATGATGTACGAGTTATAAAGACGAAACCTACCTGGTTCCTAACAGGAGCAGAAGAATTAGGCAAAAACTTGGTTGAATGTGGATTCACAGCACCGAGGGACTTTGCGCCTTCAGGCCAAACGTTGGCCAAACGGAAAGGTTGATTGTAAATATGAGATCTGCAGAATTTGAGATGCCGTCTAAATCGGATCTCTTCATCGGATTGATTGTCTTGAACGATGATTACCTTCTCAAGATCGAAGACCCGTTTGGTATCCCTGAACAACGACTTGGGTTTTCCGATCAATTTCAGGACCGTTCCGATCTTCAACTCGGCGTATTTCGTGATCGTTTCTTCGCTGACTGTCTCTGCGACTAGGTTTTCAAGATGTGGGGCTTCCAGGCCGGGGTTGTTAGTCCCTCTGACTGTGGTAGACGAGTTGGGGTGCGACTTCCGATCGGGTGATGGCAGGCGTCGATAAGGGTCGAGGCGCGGATCTGATCTGGTCTTGGGCGGGGGCGCCTGGCTAGTTGAGCTGTCATCCGGATCTGGGGGCGCTTGTACGTTTATATCTTTGCTCTTTGGAGGGGCCTTCTTTTCGTGAGGGAGGCTCGAGTAATCTTGAGAGCTCGAATCAAAGGCGTTGTTAAGTTGGGAAATGTTTATTTGGCATTCTAAAACGGCGGTCCCATCGTCAACTGTAGATGACCACCAACAAAAGAAGAGTATAGACACAACAAAAAGAAAAGGAAGGAGGATTAGTGACACTAGTATGGAAAAAGTGTAAGTCACTTAACTATGATAGGTGATGAATTTTTCCCTTCTATCGACACCGACTAGCCAACCACAGATAATGAAAGTCTTCGCAGGCCATCCTTGGCCGTAGATCCAGCATGTGACTTTCTGGGAGATGCCAGGAGCGGTGATCAACTCTGATTTAATTCTCCAGCGGTCTTTTGAGTAGAGAGTTTCAAGTTTATCGAGTGGCAGGCCTGGGATTTCGTGAGGAGGGAGGATGAGCGATGAACATGTGGCCATGACGGTGGAGATGGGCCTGTATAGGTATAGGTTGAGGAGCTTTATATCTGAGGGTAAGAAGCGGATCGGGGGACTCGATGGCGGAGGGGTGTTTTGGAGCAAGGAGCGCTCGACCTCTGCTGCATCAGTCGTGGATGATGTTGATGTGGGACTTGAGTCGACGGCAGGGGTACGACCTTGGGTCGGTTGGGGTGGTGTGATGGGTCGGATGGAGTTCTTAGGTTGGGGTTCCACAGACTCGAGATCTGACTCGTCGGAGATGACAAAGTAAGTCGACTGACTGCTGGCTTGAGTGGTTCTGGACTTGTTCTGCTGCTCTGATGGCCTCGATTGACGGCTGCGTATTCGTTGTGAATAGACCGTAGGTACTTCGAAAGATGGCGACGAGGATAGCTGAGCAGATCTGGAAGTAGGTGGTGAGGGGGTGGTGAGGTCGATGAGAATGTCTTCGTTTTCGATTGGTTCGGTTGGAGTTGAAGGCATGTGGACGTGTGCTTGGTTCCCAAATACTGTTCGGCACGATGGTGGCAAGGAAACCCGTTGGTGTTCACAACCCGTTCGCAGCGAATACGATGGTTGTTCCAAATATATTATCGGCTGTGAGTTGAGAAACGAGATGGCGGGTCAGTTGTCTGCTCGTCCAAGGTCCTATGGGAGTTCAGCGACTGAGTACATTACCATGCGTGAATATCCTAAACCGGCGAGAACACGCCGTCCACGCTTCTGGTTTCGGGCGGCGATTTGTTGTGGTGCCATTCCAGGCAAAAAGTTGTAGCTGTGGTAGGACTTGGGCAGAACAGCGTAGATACATGCACCGGATCCGGGTCGGATATGTGAGTGTATGCGCTCGGCAAGATCTTCAGCCATGAACACGGCGGCCACGCCCACGGATCAATTATCCAGATAAATCTCCCGGACAGATCACTCCAGCCTGCCGTAAGCTGGCGCAAGATGGTCACTGCTTGGTCAAAGATTGTGCTGTGCAAAAATTAAATACGACAACCCAGGTGGAACAGCAGAAGCATAGTGCTGGGGAAAGACTGGCAAAGTTCTAAATCAGGTGAATTCGGCTGAAGCGAAGTAAATACTTCATGAAGAAGGGATGATGATGATGAAGCAGCTGTGCCCATGAGCTCAATCAAGCCATGCAGATTGGGCTATTTAAGCGACTCACGCCCTGGCCAAGGGTCAGGAAATCTAGTCATCAACCAACACTCGGCATCCTAATTCCTGGCAGTCATCTAACCAAGCATTCCGTAGTAATCACAAGAATGAGCCACCATCCACCCTTCAAGCAAGTCGAAGCAAGTCGGCCCGATTTTGATTCTGGCCATCTCTCAAGGGTCAGTACATCCTCGGCCATCCGTTAGACCGACTTCTGCTCTTTCCAAGTGGAAAAACCTGCAAGTGTCTAATCGGATAAACTTCTGTTGTCTGCAGTATACCAAGACACCTCAGCCTGACTGGCAGGTCGGTCAAGGAGCAAACAATGCCCCGCTCCCAGGGGCCAAGATCTATCAGTCACCCGCGCCAACGAAGACGTTCGTACCTTATGAGAGCATATCGCCATCTGAGATGTACAAGCTGATGATTAGCTCAGTAGTAAGATCACCCCCCCCTCTTTCTTTTCTTCAGGAGCCGCTATATTCACTCTGAGCCATTTTCTTGCAGGTCCCCAGACCGATCGGGTTCTGTTCAACCTTATCAGCCGATGGCAACACCAACCTGGCCCCGTTCTCTTACTTCAATGCTGCCGGCTCAGACCCTCCTTGCGTGAGTCCTGTCGCTCCCAACGAGCGCCTGTGGTGATCGAGCACTCACTCACTGCTCTTATTCTCTTGGTTCCGCTCGTTAATGTTCAGCTCATGATGTCTTTCACGGCTACTTCGGTAGGCGGCGATAAGGATACGATTGCCAATATCAGGGCCACTAAGGAATTCGTCATCGCTATCATCTCTGAACCGTCAGTCCCGTTTCTCTAATCAAATAACCGATAGACACAGCACTGCTGCTTTTGCTTATACAACTCATCTCTCGGTAAAAATCTACATCATAGGTTCATTGAAGCAGCAAACTACACTGCTATCGACGCACCTTCCGAGGTATCCGAATGGCTCCTCTCGGGATTAACACCCGAGCCATCAATCAAAGTCAAACCAGCTCGAGTTCAGGAAGCCGCGGTCAACATGGAATGTGAATTGGGTATGTAATTTATACACCTTCTTCACCTGCGTCCTATATTCAGATACTGGGGTGGTTGACGGGATTGCTTCTTTCTGTCCTGGTCACTTGTCAGAATATTTACATGAAGTGAGGCTTGTTCTTTTATCTTAGTCATGAGAGGAAATTAAGTCTAATGAATCATCACACTGTTACTTCTAGATGTTTGATCCCTCAAATCCCAAGAAATTAACCCAAGTCATCGTGATTGGAAGAATCAAGGTGCGCTTTTCTCTCTCTGTTTTTTGGTCAAACTAATTCAAGAAAGTGAAGCAAAAAATTAAAATTCAAGACTGATGGCTCTTTGTTGGGTCTCGGGTTTTTTTTTTCATAGGCCTGGCACATCAAAAAGGACGTTCTAGTCGACGATACACCGTTGGTCGCGTTGGAGAAATTGATGCCTATTGGACGTCTTGGGTGTGTTTGATTATTCCTGCATAAACTAAATCGAAAAAGAAAGATGCTGATTTGAAAGAGACTTTCAATTATTCTTTCTACCTGAATACAAAAATGTACAATCTAACGATATATATAGAGGGATCACTTATTCACGTACGATCGAACGATTCGAATTACCGAGACCGATCTGGAAAGAAGAGAAAGAAAAAGACGAGGTCAAGAAGGTGTTATCACAACCACATTGATAAATGCAAATTCAATAGATTGTTTACAAACCCTTTCAGTTGTTATATATATATAGTTTTTATATCCTATAAATTGCTGCTAACAAATTGTTAGAGGTGATCGTTGTAGGTACATACACGCGGTTAAAGCCTATATGGATTTAATGTTGTTGTTGTTATGACTTGTTGGAATGCCATATAAAAAGAATCACATATAGCTTGTAAAATATGCATGACATTTCCTCTCGCTGATGAGTAATTGTCAAATACAGAATACTTGGATCCTAAACAGACATCATTATTGAAGGAGCTCTTTCACATAAATTTTCAATCAATGAAGTATAAAGAATTTGTATATCTCCTGAATCAATTTTGGTGGTTTATTCCATCTTGATTGTTTGTTACTTCTCAGTAATTGTCACTCCACTTTTTATGAGGGGAGAGGTTCCAGTTCACCACTGATGCATCTGGAAATGCTTTCAATTCTTTACATCTGCGCATTAGGGCCTTTTAGGACTAGACTTTCTTGCAGAGACAGTCCTTATGCTTTGTTTATGTGAGTTTTTTTTGGACAAAACTTGAGTTATACATAGAGGCTATTTATACGCTCTGAATGTGAGGGTTAGAGTAGGGATTGCGCATGATGATCTGTTTTTAAATTTTAGTAAGTCAAGTCCAGAGATAAATAAACTAAGGGTTGGACGCCGCAAACTGAGGTTGATTGAAGTCGGTGTGAGCTGATTCATCCACTCCCAATCCAGGGTGGTCATCATATTCTGACGTCATACTATATGGTCATCAGCCCACCCCCCCTCCGTGTCTGACGATTTCATGCGGACCGATTGATTGATCAAGAACTCTCTGTCCAAGTGAGTGCCCTTGGTCAACTGGGTACCCATTCCTTTGTCCTCTTTCTATCTTCGGCTCAAGCTATCTACATCGTCCAATACCTTACCTGTTTGTCTCTTCTAGTAGCTATCCTCCATCACATCAAGATGCCCTCCTCTCAATTCCTGTCTCGCACTGAGAACTTGCTCGGAAGTCGACTCGTGATTGCGGTTGGTAGTCTGCTTGCTGGTGGGGCATTGTATGCGAGCTCGACCAGAGTGCCATCGGCCATCATCAAATCGACTCGATCCGAACCACTGCCGGACGATCTAGAGTACTGGATCATCACAGAGAAGCCACGAGCGCTGAGACATCTACTGGCTGCCTTCGGCCCCGATGGTAGCAATGCACCAGGAACAGTTGCCGGGGTCATGGTCGCCTCTCCCTCACGGCCGGGCTCCTACCACGATAAGGAAACCGAGAATGAAGACTACTTTTTTCATTGGACCCGTGACGCTAACTTGTGTTTGCAAGTGGTAATACGAAAACTGAGCGAGGCCGAGTCGGGCGTCGACCTTCAATTGGTCTCAACAAGACCGCAAGAAGCTCCAGGTATTCCATCTTTGAAGCGCGCCTTGGAGGTAATCGTCAGGGAATCGGTCACTTTTAACGGTCAATTACAGCAAGTTCTCAATCTCTCAGGTGGCCCTTTGGACGGGGGATTGGGGGAACCCAAATTTCTGGTCGATGGATCTCGGTTTGATGGCCCTTGGAGAAGGCCGCAAAATGTTAGTGACTCAGAGGCACAATTAATCTCTTGAACTCTGGCAATATCTTTTTTTCGAATGGTCTTGTCAATCGGCTGATTCAACTCAAAATCTGACGTAGGATGGGCCTGCAATCCGGGCAAGCGCGATGATCCAATATGCACGACATCTGATCAGCCGACGACCCAACCTCGAACAGGTATTCGATTTCATAGCTGCTCACTTATACCACAGGGACAATCCCCAACTTCAGGTACAACTGGACATTGACCATGTCTGCCGAGCCTGGAGTGAACCAAGTGTTAGTAATGCACACTATTTCCCTTCTTACTTTCACGCATCCAATTTACCATAGTCTGTAAGTGACCAGGACTCCATCTCCTGCCATTCTAACCTCAAGATAGTCTGATTTGTGGGAGGAAGTCGAAGCAAATTACGGCGGACACTTTTACACACTCATGGTCCAAAGAAAATCCGTCCAAGACTTTTTAGACTTCACACGATCTTTACCGTCTGAGAAGCAGCCTTCAGATCAGGAATACTATTTCGCCACATTGGCAAAAATGGATGAAAGGCTAGAACATTTCTGGAACCCAGAAGGTTTGCCGGCCAGGGAGGGCGGTAACACTGAAAACCCAAACAATTCCTTCGTACCATTTTCCACGAAGCCTCACATCTTACCCACGCTTGATCGAGTGGATGGACAGCCCAAACCATCGCAAGTTGATACCGCAGTCTTGCTGGCCGTCAATCATACCGCTGGATCCAATCAACCTCATAACTGGATACCCAGCTCCGATCGCGTCCTTGCAACGCTTGACCGTCTCGTGGAGGTTTTCGAACAACTTTATCCGATTAATCATTCTAAACAAGGCACTGGAATTGCAATTGGTCGCTACCCAGTTGAGTCAAACTCAAGACGGTTCTGACATGTTTTCACTTTGTCTTTTGGCTCGTCTTACTCAACCCCACATGTGAACCAAGAACTGAGTAGCGTCCACTCTCACCATTCCAAATAAAAATAATCCAAAAATCAACCAAATAAAAATAATCCAAAAATCGATATGCTGAATTCGGATACCTGATTGATTTAGGAAGACGAATATGATGGAGTGAAGTCAAGTTCTGTTGGTCATCCCTGGTTTCTCTGCACGCATGCAGTTGCAGAAACGACCTATCTAGCCATCAGTGATTTCCGAAAGACGGTGTCGATTCCAGTGACTCGCTTCAATCTCGCCTTCTTCTCTCGCTTCTTGCCTGAGCTGAGCGAATCATTTGACGACCAAACACCGCTCACAATTGACCGGGGAACTGACGAGTATGCTAAGCTCTTGAACGGCATGTCCAAATGGGCAGATCGGTTTCTTGTCGATGTTACGTTCAAATACTTTGACTCTCGTGATGGCCGGATGAGTGAACAAATCGACCGCAATACTGGACAGATGCGCGGTACGTCTATTCACAATTTCACTCACCTCAGGCTGATCAATCTCACTTTTCTAGTCGTGTCTCAGAATAGTCACCCCACGGGATAAGAAAAAACTGAGATTCTGTTTAATTCTTTTCTTTTTTTTTTCTAGGAGCTCGTGAACTTACTTGGAGTTATGCATCCTTGTTGTCTGCCTTGGATGCCAGGGAAGGTAAAACACCCAATCATGACTAAAAGAATGCATATAACAAGAATAATAGTACTGGTAGCTGTCATTTCAACTAAGAAAGCTGTCATGAGTGGACAAGTGCAATGTGTGCTCACTTAATTATCTGGCCGGTTCTGATTGTTGTTTTTGGGTTTTTGGCATGTCTTATTGGGTATTTCTGAAAGATGTGTGTTCTGTGTCATCTAGTATTATAAAGAGGAGAGAATAGAGATGTTCATCTATTTTGAGTCTTCAACAATTTGAGCTGTGTGCTGTCATCTCTCATCTGCAATTGTCACCTTTTTGTTTGAATTGTCCAACTGCAACCTATGAATCACTCTGAATTGGATTCATACACTTAATCCTCAGATCCTTTTGTTTTGAGAAATCCTTCATCCAATCTCATCAGATTCATGATACCTCATGGCACAACTCTTCTCATTGTTCACATGGGGAGTGGAATATGAGGTCTTTGGAATCACAGAGTTTTTTCTTGTTTTGGCCATGGCTTTAGCATTTTATTCTTGGACAATCATGATTATCACTCAGATTTAAGAGTTGTGAGAAGGGAGAAATACTTTTAAAATGCTCTTGTGGCAAATTGAACTTACATACATAACTGAGAAATTTGATAAATCAATGTGAAACATTGCATAAAAGCATTGTTATAATGAAAAACTGCTTTTAAGCCAAAACAGGCTGATGGGAAATTCAAAGAAGTGTAAGTTGGTAGAGAATGTGAGTCCGATTGGTCTTTCATTGTCCCTGAAGGAATGAAGTCCAGACAAGCTCTCATTGGATATTAAACCAGTACAAATGGGAACTGTGTTTGTTTGTTCAAGTCATATAAGAGATAAGCAATTAACTGCCCATTTTAAGGATGGAGATGTTTTCAAAGGCAAAATATCACTAGACTGAAGAATTTGTGTTGAAAATCTAGATAAAATAAATGATGACAGGGGAAGTGATAACCACACTCCCCCCCCTTGTGCATGAACTCTCACACTCCCCTCTCTGAGAGGAGTGTGGGCCGGCATGTTATGAGCTGTGGAGGACTGGAACTGGGGACGTTACATATGTAGAGAGCCTGTTACGTACATGTCACAAACTTCAAACTTGGAGTTCGTTTGAGATCCACACCTTGTACATTCCTCATCTTGCAATCTACCATCAAGACTCAGAACCCTGAAGATCCCTCACCTGCTCTCCCCAGAACTCCCCTAACACTGCACTCCCCTCTCTGAGAGGGGTGTGGGCCTGCACTCCCCTCTCTGAGAGGAATGTGGGCCCGCACTCCACTGAACACCAATCTACAATCCTTTTTGATGGGTGGGATTCCTCCCAACAAGATTAATTGTAGACAAGCTTGTTGGGAGGAATCCCTGCCGCCCCGGCAAGCTGGGATTTAAACCAGCTTGTCAGGAGGGATTCCTCCTGGAAAGAGGGTTTACAATCCATATTTATGGGAGGGATTCCTCCCAACAAGCAGCCTCAAGACACCACACAGTCTCAAGGCCAAGAGGGATTCCTCTTGGCCTTGAGTCCTATTTTTCACATTTTTCTTTTGTTTTTTCAGGTCCCTGGCCCCTGAAGATTGCACTGTGGGGACACATACACACCTGCAGGGCAATGTACCCTCTGAGGGGTTGTTGTAGGACCCTGGAAATCCCCAAACTATGTGGGTGAACTAAATGTACGAATTTTTCAGAAACATACAAAAATCATATGCAAGAAATTGGTATGAATGAGTTGGGTTGCCTGAAAGGTTACACACCAAACAGGCTTTAAATGTATGAATATCCACTCACTTGGGGGAAAAACCCCAAAAATGGCCCAGTCCCTAGAGATCGTTCCGCGGTACCCTTTGCTAGGTACCTAGTACCGCTTGGGGGGTACCCTTCACACCCGCCCCACACCCGTTGGGAGGTGCCAGGTGCGGTACTTGGTACCTATTTTTGTGAAAAATTGAACAGGTACCTAGGTACCGCTACAGGTACCCCCTCACTTCCCTACCAAAATGATGGTGGCCTTCTACTCCAAGAAGGTACCTTGGCTACATGGAAACAGGGACTCAAGGATAACAAGAAGTCTAACCAAAAATCAAAAAGGAAGGTGATAGTTTTGGACAACAATGAAGATTCTTCTAATAATCTAATTAGATATAATTTGTAGACAGTTTAAGGTTTAAAATAAATTATTAAATGTGAACAAATGAAAAAATTGACTTGGGATTGATGTTTTACAATAAATATGAAAAAAGGCAAGATTCTTCCCATTAGATGTAGATACTTGACAACAAATATGAAAAAAATGCCAAAAAAGTGACATGAGTAATATTTTACAATAAATATGAAAATAATGATAATAATGAAGTAAGGTTCTTCCAATTAGTTTAAGATGTCTTACAACAAATATGACAAAAGGAAAAACAGTTACTTGGGAATGATATTTTCAATAAATATGAAAATATAATAACAAAGTAGGATTCTTCCAATTTGTTGTCAACATTTCACAGTAAATATGAAAGAATGGAAAAAAAAGTGACTTGGGACTGATATTTTACAATAAATATGAAAAAATAATAATAATAAAGTGACTTGGTAATCTGAAAGTGAACATAGGTTAGAAAGAGAGGGGAGGTACCCGCGGTACCCGCCAAAAGTACCGCCGGTACCCGCCGGGAGGTGCCTGGTGCGGTACTTGGTACCTATTTTTTGAAAAAATTCAACAGGTACCCGAGTACGAACGAACAATCTCTACCAGTCCCCACCTCTTCCGGGGGATTTACTCACTTTCTGGGGAATTTTGGCCCAAGCATATGCACAAAATGTGTATGAATGGGCTCAAATGTGCCATTTCCCGGTGCCCCTCAATGTATGATCACTCCCCATATAGAATCAATATCAACTGAAGTTTTTTCCATTGTTCAATTTTTCAATTCTTATCTTCTTAGTCCAAGCCTTAAGATTTGGAATGATTTGAATTGAAGGAATTACAGTGTTTTTTTATTTAGGATCATAAAAATTAGGGGAAAAAGAGAGAAAAAAATAAAAAAGAAATCACTCTGAGCTGAAAAAATGTATTTGTTTCAAATAAATGTGAAATTGGACAGTCAAAAAAATATAGAAACAAATTTAGGGATTGATACTTCAAACTCTAGAGATTGGTTGTGTCAAGACTAGATGAGATGTATCACTCTTGAATTCTTCATAATTGATGTATAAGAATTTCTTTTGTTTGATCCTGATGCTTGTATTTTTCATCCAGTATCTCTTCTTTTGATCAAATGAAATTTGAGTTAATCAATCATCAAATTCCTTTTTTTTAGAAGTGTTATTGGGGGAGGATGAAATATTATGAGTTGAGAATACTACGGGCTTTCAAAAGTTCAAATTTTGTGAAGTGATTTTACTTTTTTACCAAAATGGCCTTGCATACCAATCTCTCATAAATTTTATAGAGTCAAGATCTGTGTAATATTTCAACTTTTGAACACTAAGGAATTCCTCAAGCCCTTTTTCACAAAGCAATGAATAAAGTTCATCTGCTTCTGTATCTTGATCTTGCACCCACCTTTCCCAAGGATGATTTAATTTCTGAAGCCTGTTGTATTTTTCTTTGAATTCTGGATATATTGATTTGATTTGTTCTGCATAAAAGTTCTCAATCCATTTCCTATCAATTTTATGAGCTTTGAGTATTTCAATTTGATCATCACCCAAACGTTTGTATTTATCTGAAATGTCACTCAAATCACTGATCCTTGAAGATTGTAATAAAAAATTGTAATGGTCTTGAATGATTTGTGGATTTCCTACTATTTCAGATGATGCCTTGCTGATGACCTCTGGATAAATGTGAGTCTGGATTATATCCAAGAAATCACAGATACTTCTAGTTAGAGAAATCAAGAAATAATTTTTATCTCTTGAAGGGTAAAGTGAATGTGGACTATCTATTCTAATCAAAAGATCCAGGAGATCATTCACATCTTTTCTTACCAACTCTAAATTTTCATTGTGTAAATCATTTGAGTATCTCAAATTTGAAAGTTGCTTTCCAGATTTAAGGTAATTGGAGTATCTTTGGCTTGAGAGTAATTCTTTAAATTCTTTAGCAGCTTGAGCCTCAGGTGAACGAAATGGAAATTCATAATAGTTAGATATTTGCATCATATTTGCAGTTATCAATTGTAATTTTGCTCTTGCCTGTTGTTGTGCATTAAGAGCTGTAGTGATTATATTAATGCATTTTTCATTCAAAAGAAAAAAAATGAAATGAACAGAAGGTAAGTTTGTGACACTAACCAATTATATTTAGAGAGACTCACCATCAATAAACTGAAACCCTAAGGGCGCAAACCACTGCTTTGTTATATTTGTCCCATATTCATGACTCATGACATTTAGTTTGGAGAAATAATATTTCCTAGTGTAAAGACTTGCTCTCCTCAAAAATTTCTCATCTTCAGAAATGTTACTCAAACATTCCTGGTCAATGAATTCATTCTTCCACAAGAAATCAACAGTTTCAAATAAATAAGGCAGATATTTCGAAGTGTTGCATATGAGATAATCTTCAAATTCAGCATCACTGAAAGGTATTAAGACTTTATAATCAACAACTTCTTTCTTGATTTGATCCAAAAGTGAAAGGCCCAATTTTTTCCCTTCATCTTTTGCAACAATTGCAATGTCAGGGGTACTATCTCCAAGCCATGTTTGGATATCGCAATCTTGTAAATGATCTTTGAGTGTTGATTCCAGAATTTCCTTAGAAATCAAATCAAATTTCCCCAGTTCAAGAAGCTTCAAATCTCTCAAAATTTCTGCTTGCTTCCTAGTGCGTTCAGCAAACTCTTTATGTGTGATTTCGCGTGTAACCCAACCATGCTCTTCCTTTGGATTTTGGTGATCTTCAAACAGTTCTAAGACCATATGAAAATCTTTGTTGATCGAGCGCGACTTGTCTGCGATAACTTATATATTGTGGCATTAGCTCTCCAAACATTAATAGATCAGCAGAAGAAGTGAATTCACCTTCGCTTGCCTCCGAATGCGAGACTGCTGTGAGGATGATTGAGCTTTAATAATTTGTAATTCATAGTAAATCTATCATGAATCAAACAAAATACTGACGTTCACTAGAAGTCGGATTATCTTCAGCCGCTGGATTGTGAAAATTGACTTGCTCTTTTCTGGAAAATGAATCCAACTGTGTCATGTCGCTATGGGTGAATATACCTGAAGATGTATGTTTCTCCAAAGAATCAACATTTCCCATTTCTGAAGTCTGCGTTTCCCTATTGCGATTTGTCTGCGGGTTCAAAAGTGGAGTGCCTTTGGAGATTTGTTGGGAGTATGTGTAGAGGATAGCAGACATAAACAATTTAGCATCAAGCCGGCGAGGAAATCAAGTAATCAGCTTATGTCCCACCAAGGTTGTGTGCAGCCTCGTTAAGAAGTTCGTGTGTGGCCCCATTGCTTTCGGTACCTAAATTGGCTATTGGACTAATGACCCCATCCCAAGTAGCTGACACAAAACATAAATTGACAAGCGTGAATGGAGAACGCATTTTGTTCGGCTTTTAAATTGTAACAAATTTAAAGGGAAGATAGATCTCTTGGGATTTAATGTGAAAGATTAGGGCCACGATGCCATCCCGAATACTTATGCTTTTTCTTCCTGAAGACCAGATCACAGCCGCATGATGGGCTCAAAACATCCCAGGGGCCAATGATCACTTCGCTGCCACTCGGAATCAAGCATATCGGGCGGAGGTAAGAACTGTACTTTGTTATGCTCCCTCTCTCACTGAAAGAAAATAAAAGATTGCACATTTGCCTCGCATTGGCGCAACTGATGCGGTCACTTGTATGATTGGTGTCAGTGAAGTCGGTTAACACTTGATATGGATACTATACGAGTACTGAGGTATTGACGAGACAACAAGAAATCCCGCTGCGCGTCCGACGTACAAAACCTGACCAAATATGAGATCAATGGAGTTGGTCTGGCTCAATGAAGAGTGTATTTTGGTGCAAATGATGCGATCACTTGTAATTGGTGTCATTTGTGAGAGCCCGCCTACTACTCTTCTTTCTTGAATGACTATAAGTATCTTCAAGAGAAGATACCGTCTCTATTACAAGAGGTAGGGGGTAGTTTATCTTAGAATAAGATAAACTCTTGACGGGAAGGGTTTTCGAACTGAACTTTTATTTATAAGACTTTAAGGATAATGATAACGAAGAACAAAAATATCGCGATGAGGAAGAAAGGAGAGGAAAGAGAAAGTCTAACAAAACAACAGAAATATATATGAAAAGGATTTGAAAACAAACTGAGTAAAGTCTCGAAATAAAACAAGAATAATAAACCAGATGTAAAGAATAATAACTAAAGATTATGATAAAAACCAGACTAAGAAATGAATAACTAAAAGATCCCGTTAACTTACCTTAGATTTCGGCAACTAAACAGAAAATAGCGAAACAAGATCTGAATCGTTACATCATTGAAGCCAGTTGAAAGCAAAAAAACCTGAATATGGATACTTCACAAGTACCAAGTACTACGTGTCATGAGACAAGAAGGCTACCCGGCGTACAAAACCCGACAAACTATTAACCAAGGGCAAGTTGGTCTGACTCGACGAAGGGTGTCTCGTCCACGAAATGAGATTCAGATACAACATGTCCAACTATGGGCTTGTTCAAGCTCTTGTTATCTCTTAGTACAGTATTGATAGCAATCCTTAGCAATCACCGTACATGTCTAGGCTACCTGACCCGCAGGATTTGAGCACATCACCTTCACAGATCAGTTTCAAACTCAGTGGCCAGGTTGGAAGGTTCTTCTTTTATGTTGATGGCACATGATTGGTCTGATTAAAACCTGTTCATGGATAAAAAAACTTGACAAGGATACCATACAGGCGCTGATCAGTATGTATCTTGAGACACGCAGAAAAATCACTGGTTTCCCTACACCGGCTAGTACCTGAGTAAACATGAGGTGGAGAATTTTTTTTCTGGTGTAATGACGCCTAAGGGCATCCTCAGCCTGCCTCCGTATTGTCAGAGCGGTTGATATTGATGCCAATGTTTGCACTTTATTCTGGTTTGTTGATTGGATATGAATAAATAAAGAGTAAATACAATCACCAATCATGGACATCTTAAAACAAGTGTGCTACATATCTTGAAGTCTGGTGTTGAGAATGATTGCCTCCATCTCTGGACTGTCCCATCCTATGACCTGGGATTACTTGAGTTTCAAGAAAGACTAGCTAGACAACTGCTTTCCAACATTAACTGAATCCAAAAAGTACCATAGTGCATGTTGGCCCGTTGCAGGGGCCCTTCCTTGCAGTGGAACTTGAAGTCGCAGGGCCATCCCCCCGGGGGAATTGTCATTTTGCATATTCATAATACAAAATTCTCAAAACCGATCCAGAAAAAAAGCCATGGAGGCCGATGCTGAAGCACTACGACCACCGCCAGCAACTATCAAGAGACACTACCCGCCATCCTCATGTCAATCGCAGCAAGCAAACCAGCTCAGAACGGCCTCAAGTTTTCGTATGGCTTGAAAGAGTCTTCCCAACCAACCGTCGGAGATGAAAACTCAGAACCTGTGGACGGGATGGATGATGCCCTACTTGGCTATCACATGCCAACCTCCGGATTTAAATTTCGTCAACAGGTCCGTTCCCTTGAGATTGTGCTCTTTACTAGTTGTCCCTTTTGCATTTCTGATCTGTCTCCGCTCTTCTCCCGCCTTTTTCAGGTCTCATCCTTAACTCAAGCCACCAGCTTAGCCTATAGCAAATTTCAAGACTTCGAAGCATTCTTCCCTCTTCTCAAAGAACATCTGCTCGGAATCCCATCTAGTGAGCTTGTCCCGTTAGAAACATCACGAAAGTCGTTGCAAAAGTGTGGCGTTCGCATTCCACTGAGTGATCCGATCGATCCTGTACAATGGAAGTTCGTCTTCATCCCGCCTAAGGAGGTCGATATAGTCGGAAGTTGGTCTTTGAAGAATGCAATAAGTTCTAAGAGTAGAAAGAAACAGCATGCCACGATTGATTTGCTTGTTCAAATGCCACTGGTATGTCATACATCATTTTCAAAAAAATCGGCGCCTCTTCTCAATCTCCGCGAGTAGAACAGTGTTGTTTATTCCACGAATCTTTTCGGCTATCTAGGGCGTCTTTCAAGAGAAGGATTACATGTCGAATCGATATTTCCACAAACGAGCACACTACTTGGCTCATATCTCCAAGTCTCTATTGCACTCCTCATTCTCCGACAAGTTTGAGTTCAGTTACTCTTACCTGGAAGGCGATTGCTTCAAGCCAATTATCAACATCAGACCTCAGAAAGATTCAGACTCCACCTCCAAATGGACCGCTCGCCTTATACTCTCTTATCCCCAATCAGTCTTTCCTCTCGCAAAACTCGCACCTTCTAAAGCCAACCTCAAATCGACATCACATCCATCTCCAGACTACAATCAGTCTATCTTGATGGACTCAAGTGAACTCAACCTACAGCATCACTCATTTTTTACCCAGCTTTCTACAAAATCACCGGCCTTCAACCAGACTTGCCAACTCATGAAGGTCTGGGCCGAACATAAAGTGTTTTATCGGCAGTCAAAATCAAACCCAGATGATCACCGCTTGGTTGGGTTTTCTCGGTTTGGCTGGTTTGTCAACTTCCTAGTGGCTCATGTCCTGCTTGGGAATCGTGAAGTGGGCCAGAAGGCCAAAATCGGCGGGACAATTCTACAAACTGATCCAGCTGCGCTCTGGAAGCATGTGATCGATTGGCTATGTAGGTACTCTCCCCTTTTTAATTGTTTCGATTTGATCCCATAATCCTTTTTTTGCCAATACCTCATCCCTCCTAACACTCCCTCCTAACACCGTTTCCTTATTCCCCCTTTCAGCTAAATGGAACTCGGAATCTATCGTTTGCATGAAAGTGATGGAGGATTCGCATCCCGTCAGTTCCTTCTGACTGGTTTTCATATACAAGTATTTCATTAATACTGAATCTCTCCTGTTCTGCATTAAAGTTTCCTCACGAAGAATTCAATTCGTTCGGTACCGCCCTAATTGACCCAAGTGGTATGATTAACTTGACTACCGGGATCCCAGTGGGCACACTCAAACTGGTATGTATCATGTCATTGATAGATTCTTTCCCAGATAGTTCCTTACTTCTTGTTCGATCCACTCACAGCTTTGCACTGCTGCACAACGAACTGCATCGCTGCTGAAAAGTGGAAATGATGTGTTTGGAGCAGTGTTTTCTCGGCCCTCATATTCTTTCGCTTCAAGCTTTGATTATCATTTCGTCGTTAGGATTTCGAGTGAGGACATTGAAAGGTTGTGTCATGAAGAGGAACGGAAAACTCTTCTCAACGCCCTGCAGATTCTGTCGCGCAGTCTTCAACTTGCTCTTGGTAATCGAGTCACCGGCTTTGCCCTTCTTCGCCAGCTCCCCGAAATATCACTGAAATTCTATCAAAATCGCTCAAAATCGCTTCCCCCTGCGCCAAGTGAATTCACCGTCCTGCAAGTGGGACTAGTCTTGGACTCGGCCCATGCCTTCAATTTGGTCACATATGGCCCGTCACCAGATTCATCCCCCGTCGAACTCGAGAAATTTTGCAAGTTTTGGGGTGATCGATCTGATTTGCGGCGTTTCCAAGATGGTTCAATCAAACAATGTGTCAATTGGGAAGTTCACAATCCGCTGGAACGTATGCAGATTATCAAACAGATCATACGCTGGCTTCTTATCCGAAAGCTCGACTTTAAAGATGATCAAAGTGTGGTATGGGATCTTATCGGCCACTTTGATGATTTCATTCAGGAAAATCCAACTCAAATCACGAAGATTTACGAGAAAGATCCTATAGAAATCGGATTCACTAATGTGATGAAGGTTTTCAACGAATTTACCAAAGAACTGAAGGCTTTAAAGGAGAACGGCTTGATACCTCTCTCGATCACCTCAGCGCAACCTGAGTCGGAATACCTACGCTATTCTTCAGTCTTTGTTCCTGGCCCTCGACGCCTGAAGAATTATCCCCATCAACCTACAACCACGAAGTATCTACCAAGCCTTCTGTGTCAATTGAAATTCGAAAGCTCGGGGAAATGGCCAGAGAGCTTAGAAGCCATCCAAAAGATCAAAGCGGCGATGTTAGTCAAGATTGCTGAAGCGTTAGAGCAATCCGGACAAGTCGTAGAGTCCACAATTGTGTTTGATCACAAGGCACTACCGATCGCTCAGAATGTCGCATTGGATGTTCTTCATTCCTCAGGATATGCTTTCAAATTAGTGATCTGTTACGAGCGGGAAGAAATGTTACTAGACGAAGCTCTGGCGATCGATACGAACGATCGGAGGGAGACCCCAGAATGTAAAACTTCTTGGTTAGTTGAAGCACTTGGGAGCTATCGCAAGACGTTTATCTACTCGAGGAAGCATCACGATGCTATCACTGCCCTCCAGTCAAGATTCCCTTCGTTTACTTATACAGTTAGATTGATCAAGCGATGGTTCAGTACCCACATGCTACTATCCACGCATGTATCGGTCGAATTAGTCGAATTACTAGCCTCGGTGGTATACTTACTTCCAGAGGACGAGCAACCGCCAACAACAGGATCGTCAGGATTTGTACGCTTTCTGAGGTTTCTAACGCGTTGGGATTGGAAAAACGAACCGTTGCTCATCCCGCTTCAATCGTCTATCGGGCTGCCTTCCAACGCACTGACTCACTTTCCCGTCGAGTCACTGAAAGCGGCCCTGCAGAGCTTCCGGTCAACTCGGAAGAAGGATCCCGGGTTCCACCGATACACATACTTTGTTGCGACTGAAGATGATCTGGAAGGCTCGAGATGGCTGCTCAGCACAAGCGGCGGCCCACAAGAGGGGAAGACTGCAAAAACCATCCTGCGTCCCACCCGGCTGATCTCAGACCGACTCCAGACGCTTGCCAGTGCCTCGCTAGAGGTCCTTGAGCCCAGCTTGGAACTTGGGTCCGTCGGCTTTCAGCCTAAAACACTCTTCAAAAGCCCGCTCAAGCACTTTGACTTCCATCTCATCCTCGACCTTTCATGCTCTACTCGTCTCCATCAATCTGTCGATCGAGTCTGTCCGGACTCAGTCCCGTCCGTTTCTACGCTCGAGACCCGGCCTCAAATTGATGATGACCCTGTATTCGAATTCTTCAAGGAATTGCAGGTCAGTGATTCCTCCCCTCATCCCTTTTTCCCTTTCCTCCCTTCGTTAAATTAACAAAAACGGGCCATTTTGTTGACAGTTGATATATGGAGATTCGATCGAGTTCTTCTATGATCAATTCGGGGGGCCTTTGATCGGTGGGGTAGTGGACCGACGGATCATCACTCGAGTATCGAAAGCTACCCCCAAGCCTCGCGAAAATAATGGCCACAACAGAAACAAAGCTGTGTTTGATCTAGACGCTTGTCTCCTGCAAATCTGCAACGGTGTCGGCCAAGGCTTGGTCGCTAAAGTCTTGAAAAAAGACGTCGATTATTAGGTCAACCTTCTCCCCCCTCTCTCTCAAAAAAAACACTTCTTTTTTTTAATTGGATGTCTGGAGATGTGGTTGCCCCATAGAATTAAAGAGGGTTTGAGCAGACTGAAGAACTGAACTTATCGAAAGATTTCCCTGTTACCTTTTTGTAGAGTTCAGTTTTATTTTTTGTGGGTTCAGTTCTTTACACAGCAACCATGAAGGATGTTCTTTGGCACATGTATGTTTGCATGGTCCACAATCAGCACACACCAGTTCAGGTGCACATATACTTATGTATGGTGATCATGATCTGGGGGGTACTCTGACCTGATTTACAAAAAATGCCCAGCAAACAAACAAGACACCGATTCTTGTTCTTACGGATTGCTGATGGAAGATTGATGATGTTACATATCTTCCATGAATGATTGACTCAAACTCAACCACATGCATGTTGATAGTAGGGCACTACATATTGCACCCAAAACATTGCTGATTCATAAACAAGGTTTTCTTGCTGATGCAGAATTTTGGTAAGTGTGAGATTGTGCCCTCTGAAATGTTAAACTTGTGACTTGAAAAATTAGCCAAGGCTGTATTGCAACCAGATTTGGCTGCTGATATTGAAAGCAGCAGTACATGAATCTGCTTATTGAGTGCTATTCAAAGGAGAAATTATCCAACTACATTGTATCTTGACTGAAGCCACCAGGAAAAAACAAATGTGGGCAATGGCCATGGCATGGGTGGCAGGTGACAAAGTCAATTGTTTCCACTCTCCTCTGAAATGAAAGTCTGTGGATGTCCATTGCTGGAGGTAGGAGGGGCAGAAGAATGGCCAAAATTGATAAGGATGAAGGCAAGGCCCATTGAGATCATCCATGCCTTTCCTCAATCAGGGCAGTCAATTTTCAGGTCAAGTGACTGCTAACCACCATAAGTGAGAATCTTGCAAGTATTTGAAGCTACATTCTCATGAGACCTTCAAAATTGGCACTCATTTTCCCAGTCAATTTCAAAAAATAAAAATAAACATCTCTGATGTGACAGTCTCAATCAGATGATCCATGTTGAGGGGACACTGAATCCTGAAAGAGAGGTGCTCAGGATGTGGGTTCCATCAATCCTAATCCATCTCAAGGGGATACTCATCACACTCAAGGGTCAGCAAAACATTGTAGCTGGGTATACTCATCCACTGACCCGTTCAAAAGATTAGATAGACGCACGAGGCAAATACAACTATGAAGATTCCTGCTAGATCTCGACAGATCCATGTTGCAAAAAAAATGAGAAATCTTGATACATCATTTTCAAAACATTGTTACAACAATGGCGGTTTATATGGGAGGATGGGCAGGGCAGCTCCTGCATTCTGGTGTTTTCAAATCTGAGCGTTGAAAGCTTCGGAAGTCAGTTTTTCAAGCTCCATTTGGTCGACTTGAGAGAGCATTGGGATATCAACCAAAGCTGTTGTTGGTGTTGGCGCAACAATAGGTGTAGCTGCTACTGGCACGACGACAGGTGGAACTTCTACTGGCACGACGACAGGTTGAGCTGCTACTGGTGTGACAACACGTGGATCTGGTACTAGTGGAACAACATGTGGGTTGGCTATTGGCCCGACAGTAGGTGGGTCTAGAGTTGGCCGGAGAGCGGAGGGGCCCGGTTCTGGCCCGACAACTAAGTCTGGTGCTGGCTGGGTGATAGGTGGGTCTGGCGCTGGCGCAGTAACAGGTGGATCCGGTGTTGGCGCGGCAATGGTTGGATCCGGTGTTGGTGTGACAATAGGAGGGTCCGGTGTGTCTACCGATAGAGAAGAATTGTGACTAGAGCTCGGCCGGTTGAAATGGAGGTCAGCTGAATGTCGAGATTGAGAAAATGAATTTTGGATTCCAGAGTGAATGCTAAGGATCCCATTCCCATTCATTTTGGGAGACTGTCTCCGTGCCCGTTTGTGAGACTGAATATCACGTCGCCCGCCTTCGCCCTCGTCCTCACTATCAGAAAACTCATCGTCTCGTTGTATCAATCCATCCAGTAGCCGCTCTGTGAGGAGAGAGAGGGGGAGAGAGAGAGAGCGTGTCGCAAAATCAGTCTGATGTCAAGTGATACCAAACAGAAGAAAAGACTTACGAGGTCTACGCTCATTGGGATCGTCCAGATCCTCATCAACATCCATCTCATCGTGAGCCAGCCTGGGAATAGCTGATAACAATTTGTCAAATATGGCAGGCAAAACATAAGTAAACAAAACTCTAGATACGAGGTATTATCATGTGTTTATATCAATTAGTTCTTACTAACCTTGCAGGCCAACTGATGGAACGGGAATCGTGTGTCGCAAATTTTCAAAAATCTGAATCTTAGTCTTTTCCAAATACTTGACCACGTTCATGTCCTCCATGTTGGAGGGTGGTACATCTAGGCGATAAGTGGGGCCAAAGTATTCATAGTATTCATTCATTGGAATATCTGTTTTGGCAGGGGATTTGTGAGTTTTATATGGCGGGTGTCGGGACGTTAGGATTTAGCACTCACCTGTACACAGCTCTTGTCCCGCTGCAAGTCCGGTTTCGTAGGCCCACGTCCTTGATACATTCCGAATTGTGTAACCTCCTCCACCCAGAAGAAGTAAAGGCAGTCCCAAAGATTTAATGAATCGAACGCAATTGGCATGTCCTGTTCAACAACAAAAATCGAAACAGATTAGACAAGTAACAGCTTGGATAGCATCACTTAAAAAACCACAAACCTCGCATTGATACATTGAAACTTCCTAAGCGGTCTCCTGATAATGAATCTCCACCACATTGAAGCACGATGGCTGAAGGCTGATATGTCTCCATGATTTTCATAATGACCTATGATCGGGTATAGGCGCAAATAATTAAAATCAGAAAAAACAGGTCATAGACGGAGATATGCTAACTGGTTCAAAGATGTTTTTGTACGCCTCATCGGTGATACCATCCCTCAGAGGAAAATTGACGGCATAGTGCTTCCCCTTTCCGTGCCCAGTATCCTATAGTTCGGTCGCAGTCAGTTTTCGACGAACTTGGGCAAATGAAGAACGATGTGACTGACACGTAGTTCACCTGTACCAGGAAAGAATTCACCGTATTTATGAAAACTACATGTCATCACTCGGTCGGTCGTGTAGAAAGCCTCTTCCACTCCGTCACCATGATGCACATCTATATCAACATAGAGTACGCGTTTGTGGTAGCTATGTGAAGCGTGATGGATGATTGGTGAAAATTTAGAGCACGTCAATTTTGTTGGTCACGGTGTAATCGCCCGGCAAGGCTAATTAGGAATATTTACCGAAGAAGCTCGAGGATACCCAATACAATGTCTGTTAAAGAAGCCATTATGAGATTTGAGAGGACTCAAGAGAATGTCGAGGCAAGATTGTAAGCTCACCATTGACATAACAGAAGCCGTTAGCTTCGGCTTTCTTTGCGTGATGGAGACCACCCGCCCAGTTAACCGCTATATCACATTTATCCCTGGATAACCTCGCAGCTCCCTCTGTACCCACAAAAATTCCGCCATCAGCTCACATGTTAATTTAGTTCAAAATTATGTGTTTTTTTTGAGGCAGTTTTACCCATCGAGCCACCAGCGGATATCGAGCAATATTCAAACAGTCCATCAAATACAGGACAATCGTCGCCCAAATTGACTGAGTGGATTTTTATGGTCAATTGCAGGTTTAAAATTGATCGAATTTTGAATCAGTAAAATAAACTTAATTGCACTAGTTGTGGTACTGATACGGACAAGGAAAAATGAACGAAGGGGGGAAGCGAGAAGATATGTACATTTAGCTTGTTCCTTCGCGAATTCTTCCATGTTGTCAGGGGTCACTTTGCTCAGGAAATCCACGTAATCATCCGTATGAAATTGTGCCATCTCCTTGCGGGTTGCAGGTTTCGCCCTCTTTATTTATCGGGGACCAATTCATTTAGCATGCACCAGAACCAAGAAAAAAACCCCAATCGTCAGAGATGGCTTCAACCTAGGAATAGGTAATAAAACTCAAGACGACGAACAAAGATCTCCATTTTTTTGTATAGTCCGTAGTTCATCACCAGAGCGTGTGTCATTCGAATTCGATGGGGTTTCATGGGGTGACCAGGGCCATAATGATAATTTCCAATGTCCGAATCGAAGAAATAACACTGTTCACAATGTCATAAATCCAATTAAGTCGTCAGTTTCTCCAACAATAGGAAAGAAAGGAAGTTAGAGGATAGTTTTCGGATATGTCCCATCTGCTTACGATTCGTTTTTTATCCTCGCCAGCGATCGGTATCATATTACCAGACATTTTGATAGGATATTCTCTGCTGGATGTGAAGGTTTGTGAGTTTACACTTCGAGTGACTTCTCTTGAGGGGAGGTTGACTGGGGACTTGTGCGCGGCGCGCGCGGAATGCGGCTGGGCACCAGCTGAGCAGTTACGGCTAGCCCCTCGCAGATCGGGGGTTTTTCCATTGAAAGGGGGCTGTCAAAGCGATTTGCGACTGCAAGTACATATGGTTTAGCCATTGCGGGACATGAAAACTGGCTATGACATCCGGCCTCCTGGTGGGCGTTGGGGTGTTTTGGCCTAAGAGATCTCCAGCTTTGGCAGGGAAAGATTTTGATGCCAACAAGTAGCTTTTCAACCTGATGAGCTGGCTGGAATTGGTCCAGACCTCTTCACCAATTGTGGTGATCTTCCTACCAGCGGTGGGCCGCTACGCTACGCTACGCTTTTGGCCCAAAAAGCGTAGCGTAGCGGCGCTTTTTTTGCGCCAAAAATTCGTAGTGTTAGCGCTTTTGTAGCGCATTTTCGCTACGCTACGCTGCGCTACAGCGCTTTTAGCGGAAAAAGCGGCTAAAAACCGCTAAAAACCGCTGTAGCGCAGCGTAGTGGGCCCTTTTTTGCGGCCCACACGCGTAGCGTTAGCGGTGTCGTGGCGGAATTCCGCTACGCTACGCTTAACGCTAACGGGAATTCCGCTACGTTACGCTACACTAACCGCTACGGTTAGTGTAGCGGCCCACCGTTGTTCCTACGCCTCATATTCCTTGAGAAATGGGCACCAGGATACATTGTTTTAATTTCACAGGGCAGACCAGGACTGAAAAAAAAACAAATGACTTGCAATCCCATTCATTTGAGTTTTTTTTTCCAAAGGTGTAGCTTGGCTATCCATTGCTCTGGAAAGAAATTTGAGCATTATTCGGAAAAGATGTTTCTAATGAGGCAATCAACCTGATAATTATGAGGGCTCTGATGTTCTAACTTGCAGCAAACTCAACACTTGAGTAAGCAAGGCAGATGTTGTGTCTTCATTGATGTGCTGATGCCTTGATTTTGTGGGCCATCATTAAAGTTTTGCTTACCGCACTGGAGCCTTGGAGATGATGGGGGTACAAAGTCAGCCTAAGCACTTGTTGGACTGATTTATACAATGAGTCAAATGAGGCCATGTAGTATCACATTCCCAGGGTAGGGATGATTGATCAGAGGGAATATCCCAGTCCAAAGCACAATGCCAGCTTTGCAGACTGATCTCCTTCTTACAATTAGTTGACATTGACTTAGACACATTTGGGGGATGGTCCAACTGAGTATTTTTCAAGTTGGACAGCATTTGTAAGCCATAGATTTCAAATTGTGTGAACTGAAATTATTTTCCAATCCAACTATCAGCAGATCAATCCATGCTGTGTCTTCTTTTGCTGTTGTGTGCCAAATTGCATTTTCATTGGTTGAGACAAACACGCAGGCACAATACAAGATGCAGAGGTATCTCATCTGCTAACAGATCCATGAGCCCCTCTCCGCCATCAGTAAAACAAATTTTCAGACAAACCATTAACAGAAGGGGTATACACTGCTCTTCCTGCCTGAGATGAAAGTGCTTTTCTAGCACCATTCGATAGAGCCAGTATCCGCCACTGATTTAGGGCACGAACGTTTGACCGGTCAAAAGTTCGAACGCTTCACAATATTTATTCCAAGTGGAATCGATGACCGACTGCGGGATTTCGAGCTGCTCTTTCCCGTCGACGCCCTCAGTCTTGAGCCAGTCCCTGAGCACCTGTTTGTCGAAGCCGCTCATCTTCTTGCCCTCGGCCCATTCGCTCGTCGCCCAGAACCGTGACGAATCCGGCGTCAGACATTCGTCGATCAGCAGCAGCCGCTGACTGCTCGGATCTAGCCCAAACTCGAACTTGGTGTCGGCCAGAAATAGCCCACTGCTGCTCGACAGACAGTGGCTATTGGCCGCCTTGTATAGCTCGATCGAGGTTTTCTTGATTTGATCTGCAAGCGTCTCCGAACCTAGAACTTCACCAACTGCACAGCCCATCATATTGTTTTCCTATCAGCCAACCTAGTCTTTTTCATTTGCTTTTCACTTCTTCTTCTATTTCTGCTGCTTTCTGTGGATCGGAGTTGATCGACTTACGTTTATCTGGGTGAATGTTTTCGTCGTGGGTTCCGATATCCGCCTTGGTACTGGGAGTGAAGATAGGCTCCGGAAACTTAGAGGACTCGACGAGATTTTTGGGCATCGGGATCCCATGTACGGTTCCTGACTTTTTGTATTCTGCATACGCCGAGCCTGTCAGAGGTTTTTCCGAATGCCATCAGTTGTGTATATCAATTTAGGCGACGAAAAGAAAGGACTGCGTGTACATAGTGATTGAAGATTAAACTCTCTTACCAGTGAGATAACCCCTGACAATAGCTTCGCATTTGAGTACTTGGCTTTTTTTGACCAAGATCGTTCGACCCTCGAGTTGCTCCCTGTAGGGTAGAATGGCGTTAGAGAGTGAGAGGATGTGTTCGAAGTCTCCACTGATGACATGGTTGGGAATGACCGATTCCAACTTGTTGAAGAAGAACAGCGAGAGTTGGGTCAAGAGTTTGCCTTTGTTTGGTATTCCCTACGAATTGCACATTGTCACAGCGTCGAAATCGAAATCAGTCTGCGTCAATTGAATGATAGGCATGAAAATCGAAAAAGAAATGACCAAGTACGTTTTTCATCACAATGTCAAATGCCGAAATTCGATCGGTAGCCACGAATAGCAATTTCGAGTCATCCCCTGGAAATTCGTAGATATCGCGCTGCAGAAATCGAAAACAGAAGTTTGTTACCAAGTCAGCTGGGGTTCGGATTCTGTTCTGAGACTTCAAAGGACCGAAGGAGACAGAGAGAGAGGAAAATCTGGAGACTCAACTACTTTGCCTCTTGCTACTAACCGCAAATCGGGACAGTTTGATTCGAGGAGGGCCATTGGGTCGCTTGAGAGATTAACTTGTCGGTTGGTACCAGGAATGGGGTAGGGCTAGTTTGATTGGTTTGCTTGAAGAGTGTGGCCTATATGGAAAGGTGAAACAACGGAGTACGACTTGTGGTTTCTATCGGAATCCGGCTCGTTTGACATTTCTCCTGCTGCTCCCTCCCATTCCCACCCGTGCCGTATTCAGATCAACCCATAAAAATACAAGCAAGCAGCGAACACAGATGACTTCCATGGATGGACCAGCTATTGATAATCCCAACAAGTCTTCCTGATCGAATCTGGAGAGATGCTTGCTGCTGTTGTTCCAGATCAGTCACCAGTCCACTCGGGATTGGTTGATGGTAAACGGGACAAGCTGCCTCTGCCATCCTCCCTCTCATGACCTCTCGCAGGGAGATTCGGCCTGCATACATGGAGATGGCATCTCAGGATACCAATATGGTGGATTTTCGAAAGCAGATGAAAACAGTAGACATGAGTGTCACCGTATTGTCAGTGTACCTGTCACCTGCCCCACTCAATCAGTCCCATAACCATTCCCATCTTCATCGAGTGCTCTCACACATAGTCCGATCCAGCTTTGTTGACTGAACCTGTTCATTGGTTGTAGATACAAAGGGTAGTATCATCCTAAATGACGTTCACTGCAAACTCAGACCTCGACTTGCTCTTTGATCCGAAATGGTTGGCCGAGAATCCGGAGCTGGGATCAGACTTGCACGTGAGTGACCGAACTGGCAGTGGATTTTGGTATGCGATGCCTTCTTGACCATCTGTATGTAGGCTGACCGTACACAATCCTCTCTCTGTATATGCAATCCTCCCAGATCCGACCACTGTCTAAGACCGATTATGAGCGAGATCACCTCAAGCTACTGGCCGGCTTGACTTCTGCTCCCGACACTGGCCTGACCGATTATCAAGCCAGGTTTGAGCTCCTACGAGATGTCAACAAGGCCACCCCGGGTAGGCCGAGTTACTGTATAATCTGTATAGTTCGCAAGTCGGACGATAGACTCGTCGCATCCGGGACCCTCCTCTTGGAACATAAATTTCTTCGCGCTTGTGGAAGTGTTGGTCATATCGAAGACATCGTAGTCGATCCGGACGTCCGGGGGAAGAGCTTGGGCAAACAAATCATCAAGTCATTGACCGAGACCAGCGAGAAGTTGGGCGCATACAAAACCATATTGGATTGTAATAAGGACAATATCCGTAAGTTTGTTGTCACTTTCTAGTGTTCATTTTCAACCCACTTCTTCATGGCTGATCGAGATGCTCTACCTGCTAGCTTTCTATGAAAAGTGCGGGTTTCAACACAAAGAGTATGAGATGGTTAGGTACACCCCTGAAGAAATCGTTGCCCGTTACAAAAAGAACTTCTAGATGTTCATATGGGTATGATGGTACTTCTACAAGCTCACGGCCTAGGCATCGAGCTTCATTCGTCGTAAGAATTGTATCCAGTCCAACGACAGCTATAAAATATTCCAAATATCTATTTATTTATACGCATCCATGTTTGCATGTACAGCGCGTCTAAAGCAGGCCCCAGGGTGAAAAATGCCATTGTGCCCGAGTGCCATCTTGATCTTCTGCTCGTCTTGACAAGTCGGGGATTGAAAAGCTCATTCTTGACGCTGGGCTTGCTTCATCCGATCTCTGCATCCGGAAAGAATACGAAGGATTGTGTTCACATTATGACCTGAGCTCTCAGCCGATCTGTTTATGACCACCAGGTGCCACGGCAAGTTTCGGATGACATTGATAGATTAATAGGGATTGATGATTGGGTATCGGCCTAGGCTATCCTCTCTTAGCGTGACTCTTTGACCTCACTCTGATACCGATCGCGATCTCGGCGCGCCTCATTCAACGGCCGACAGGAGTTCCTTGTCACCCCCCAACTCAACTGTGAGCTGAGATTGAAGACCTGAGACAGTTGTTCTATTGGCTGAGCTCAGACCTAGCACGCACAAAGCCATGCCCTTGGGTTGTTGAGTACCACTTGATTCTGAGAGCTGATAAATCGTGCAAAGCCATCACTGAGTTGACTGTATGCTTTGATGAATTTATCATCAACAAGTTCTTCCTTAGTTTCAAGCTGCTTCACATTTCCATTACGGCCTACTCAAGCAAAACCTAAGAGCGCTTTGCAAAATCGTTCAATGTTGTCTTCCACATCTCCCGTCGAGGAATATCGGGACGAACAGTTCAACTTAGCGCGAAGCGGTTCCCTTTTATCCGTAAGTAACAGATCGTCGAGATCTTCTTCCAGTTCGCCACCGAATATACCCTTCAAGCCCGGCCATTTGCGCTCGATTTCCTCCCAAGTCAGGGTCCAAAACCGGATCATCCAAGCAGTTGAGATTCGACAGCAGTCTCCGGAGTCAACGAGCTCTCGACTTTCAGGAAGCTCGCCGCCTGCTCTGCAACATGCCGATCAAACTACCATCAAGGCTACCCAACGCCGGCCACCACGGGAAACTGCCAACGCAATCCAGAAACTCATGCAAAGTAACAACTACCCTGCCTCTCCCTCCCTGAGTCGGGACTGGCGCGATCAGGCGAATGAGAAGGCGCGAACATCAGTTGATCGGCGTCCTGGCTCGTTGGACTCAAAACAGCGCGTGGGGGGTTTTCAGGATTTAGAAAGAATTCATACAACCAGACCACAAAAACTGAGTCTTGGCGTCAGGTCGGATAACCCACTCGGTTCTGCTTCTCAAACTGAAGGCGTGGTGAGCCATAGGCCTGACCAGGCCTCTTCAACATTTACACCTCTGATCACTCCTCGACAAGCGATCGCGCTGTACACCTTTAATCCTGAAGCCTTCAGTTCGAGCGAATCGGACAAAGATGAGGAGGACGACTCGGAGAAAATGACACCGGAAGTTAGATTCCAGTCTGGCGATAAGCTTGAGATCTGGGTTCCGGACATCGGTGGGGGTTGGAGTTTAGGAAAAAATCTGACCAGTTCAACCTCTCTACTCGATATATCATTGAGCCAAGTCACAGAACAAGGCCATAATGACTGGGGATTGATCCCCATCGGTTGGTATAAAGTACGCTTGGCTTCGTATTTTTTTTTGTTCCCCAAAAGTTACAGAATTGAGACCAGAAACCTTTATATTCTCATTCCACCCGGAAATTCGTAGGTTGTTGAATCTCCGGATACTCCTCGTAACCGGCCCAAAGTAAAAAAGGTAGCCCCAATGCAGAGCTTCTCTGCCCGCCTGGCCTTCGGAACCCAATCGAGTGATGTTTTGCTGTCTCAAAAGCAAGCACGTCTAACGTCTGTCGATCATGGCAGGATGGATCAGGAATGTTTTCCTATCACGAGACGAAGCCTTGATACCAGCAGCCATCATGAGAGCTGCGCGTCTGATCTAGAAGCTTACTCACCAAACAAGCGGAAGGTCAAAGCTGAATCAGGTTTGGAAGCTCCACCCAGCAGAGGCACAAGAAGAAATTTGCGAGTCAACAATGCCTCAGAAGTGGGTACTGCGTCATCCCGGAGCTCAGGTTACTTTCTTTCTCCACCCACGCAGAATGCTTCAGTTGCCATTAACAAGGAATTCGACCCTAACGGCGTTCACTTTGATTACCAATCTCGAGGGATAGCATGTTCGGTTACGGCATCGGATGCGATGTTTGCTGCCCGTCAAGCCGCCGATCGCCATTCAATTGATCCGCCGGTTCCTGAGGTGATTGGCCAGCCCAGAAGCTCTTCATGGAATCCATTCCTTAGAAATCGGACAGCCAATCGACGGCATTCAATAGCTCATTCATATATCACTGGGGAAGAAGATTATCAACAAGATACTACTGAGGAGGACGGCCAAGATCAAGGGTGTACCGAGCGACATGAAATTCGCGCTGGGCCTGCTTGGAAAGACTCGGCCCCACGCTTCACCGTGCAGGTACATTCTCCTCAGCTTCAAACCCACCCATCGAAAATGAAAGCACATGTGATCTACACTGTCACGTCTACATTTTCCAATGATAATGGCTCTGTTGAGGATGGCCCAATGAACGTTCAAGTAACTGTCGGTCGACGGTATTCACATTTCGGGCTTTTATCTATTGGACTTAATTTGATATACGGAGAAGTGATCGATCTCCCTGCACTTCCTGAGAAAGGATTCACCAGTAATTGTTAGTGATCCATCATCTTATTGGTAGTTATATAGCCATCTTCGTAGGGAGAAGGTGATCACTTATACTGCAAAAATGTACACGAGAAACTGAAAACCTTTTTACATAGACGACGAGGGTTTCATCGAAAATCGTAGGCGCGCCTTGGAGAGATACCTTTTTCGATTGACCCGTCATCCTATACTACGTTACTGCCCCAGGCTGACCACTTTTCTAGGATGCGAAGACGTTGAGGTATGTGACCATCTTTCTTCCCTCCCAAATAATTCTCTGATTTCTTCCAACCTAATCTTAAACCATAGGAATTCGAAGCAGAAGCGCGTTCCTGGAGCCAATTAAATTCAGAGCCCTCTCAAAAGGCTGGCGGACAGGCTACAGACTCAGCTGCCTCTTCGAGCTTCTTTTCGAAAGTCTTTCATCCAGATTACAATGTCGACGAGCCGGAAGCGGAGAGCTCGATCGACGCCTACAATCTACACACCCAGTCCTTAGAGAACAGCAAAAACATGGTCGATTTAGAAAAAAATATTAGCAATTTGCGGATCAGTATCCAAGGTCCGCCTCTCAATTTCACTGCCCTAGATTTCTTCATAACTTTCCTTCAACTCAAAGTCTCTTTTACCTTTCTATGGTCTACTTATCATCGCATGTCAATTACGTTTGGAAGATATGGCGCAAAACTTCCAAAAAGTGTCGAGCTCGATCCAAAGGTTATGCGCTGGTCTACCTCTACCTCACAAGGAGTTGCCATACAATCGACCACCAAAATCTGGTATCTCGGGAAGCGAAAGACCGGGCTATGTTCCCTGCGACGATGCGCATGGCGTATATCATGGGCTTGAGAAGGGCCAGAAACATTCCTCGCCCGAAAATAGTCTTCTACGAGACCTTCGGCGGGATGTGCGTGATGCGGGAATGCAGAATTTGGATGGGGCGATGTGCTGGAAAGAAGACTGCACTGGTAAGCTCTGGTAGCCTAACTCCATTCATAAGCTCAACGCCTGACTATTTCCGCGCACCTTCGCGCTGGGTATTTGCGTCCTTCAGAGTGCCTAGCCATGACCAAAGCTTTGCAGCTACTGGGTCAATCTCTCGGCAACGTGGCCGGATCGTATTCTACCTGTGCCACCGAAGCGCTTGCGCCAGTTGAAGCTCTGATCAAAGAGCTTTCGTTTCCGCACAAGAATCGCAAGGTATGTATTTTCTCAAGTCTTGATCTTGATTCATCAAAAGGGAAGATGCTCATGGTTAAGTGACTTGTAGGTCCTGTCAAGTCTGCATGATTCAACCAAAGTCTCCTTTTCGGATCTCAGTGGTCATGGTACGCTCGACATATTCGAATCGCGGAAAGAAACGGTGTTGAATGTTGTGATGAGTGAGATCGAAAGACACCATCAAGAGAGAAATCTCGATTTTAGGGATATGGCTAAAACATTGCTAGATGGCCAAATTCAATTGCACCAATCAGTTTAGTATTCCTTTCTAGTACACATCATACTCATACCATGATGTGGGTATCATGGCTAACACAAATGACATCCATTCACGATTGACCAGGCTTGTGAGCAACTGAAAGAAGCCAGGCAGGCATTAGAAGAGCCGCAGCTCAGCTTCCTAGGACGTTCCGGGCCGAGAAGCATGAACGCCGAGGAAGCGAAAGGATTGCAACGGCAAGATCTGACTCGATCGAGCTCGGCAATCTTTGCTTCGTCGCACAACGAGTCCTTCAAAACGGCTCGATCACAGCTCGACTTGGACCAGTCCGACAATCGGCCACTCAGCCGATCGTCCTCGGTTCTTGAATGGATCAATCACTCCGCTACTTACCCCGGAAAACTCGCCGAGAACTCTTCCCGGCCACTCGCGAACAATCATCAGCGTAATCCTAGTATCGCAAGTCACTCGAGTTCGATCGCTAGTTCTGCTTTTTCTTCTGTCTTTGTTAAACCTCTTTCTGCCGCATTTTCTTCAATGGTAGATTTATCTGATTATCTATCTTAGACTATTGTATTTCCCCAGCACACGCAAAAACATCGTATCGTTTTCCCTCTTGTTTCACATTGAATTTTTTATTTTGCGCAGTTTTTTTTCTAATTATTCCCCATTTTACCCCACCTGCCCGGAGTAAAGAAAGCTCCTTAGGAAAAGTCAACTGCTTTGATTGATGAAGCTAGACGTTGGGAAACAATATGGAAAAAAAGGATTGAAATTTTTAATGGAATTCAATTGCCACGCTCAAAGGTCGGATGGCAAGCTGCGTTGTTATTGTATACGTCAGAATATAGTGTTCTATTCACTGGAGATCTACTGCTTGGAACAACGTATATCTGAGGATTACAAGAACGGAAAAGGGACAGAAAAAAACATATCCAGATTGGGCAAAGCGTGAATGGACGTTCGTCTCATTTAATGCAATATGATTGACCCTGATAAACTGGCAATTTTGAATGTGATGAAAAATGTTTAATGGGATACTGAGGGTGGTCAAGATAGCAGAGTGCTTTTTCTTTCTGCTTCAAAGTGGTTTCAAATGTGGGTGTTTCAACGTGGAGGGGGCTGGCAGCTGTTGGAGTAAATATCACTCGGGATTTGAGTATTGGGCTAAATTTCAGGAGCAATCAATTAGGTCAGTCCTTATCTCTTAACAGATTAGAGAAGTGATGGGCAAAAGCTTGGAACATACGTTCTGAAGGTAAGGGTCTATGGTGATGAGGCAGCATTCGGGATGGTAGCCGTTTCGACAAGTTTGATAGTGACTGGGGTTTGGTGGTTCTTCGATGTGGTTATTCTCTGCGGCGTAATGTTTTCTTTTGCCCACTGAGAAGAAAAATACATTGATCATTGAGCAGTTGATCAAATAAGCACATGTTGCGATCAGCAGATACATATTGTCGACACAAACTCACTATTGTCAGCGTAGGTAATGCAAACCGCGAGCGACCTTGCAGTTGCTACGGAGCAATAGAAGCCTTGGTCCGCGGGAGCCCGGGGCTGCAAGAGCTGCGATGGCCCTGCCAATGCTTGCAAAAAGCACGCGAAAAGCAACGCACAAGTGGTAACTCGCATGTTGCGGGTGTGTGCCGTGGAGATCAGGAAGTTTGCAAAGAAATATGTAGGGCTAATGTAAGCGCAAGAGATAGCTTTGGATGGAAGTACTGTGGATGGGGTGGGCTGTTCAGTCTGGGAGAGAGGCCTTTTTATAAGGGCCAACGATCAACCAAGAATCAAAAGGCGTAACAACAACAGGCCAACGATCAACCAAGAATCAAAAGGCGTAACAACAACATCAGGGCATTGTACTGTATAGGCCGACATGGAAAAGAAAAAAAAAAGCGCACACAAATCAATTATGTACAAAATGTTGGCGGAATTCGTATGAGGTGGCTTGTGTGCCACTTCGTCTGCCTCTTGCCACGATATTGTATGTATTGCATACATACAACTGGGCTGAACCCGCAAAGGAGAATCCTAGAGAATTCTTTCAACTTATTTGTGTACGAGCTACCGTACATATGTACGCAACTTTGGTTTTCCCCATGAGGGAAAAGCCAATAAAAGGTGTGCTCTAAAAGGGATGATCCCGAAAACCAGGGTTCAGAGTTTTACCCCCTTCCTGATATTAAATTCTGCTGCGCGAGATGCAATTGTAAACACGCAGCCAAGCGTCAATTGTCACTAGCACCGATTTAACCTAACCCTATTTTCCCCTACAACAAAACCAAGAACGATCAGCAATGAAGTGCCGGTCTTTTCTTCACGCAATTATAACACTAAAAAGTGAAGTAAAGACTGGTACGTAACAAAATCACTAAGGCAGCAATTATAAACGAGATTTTTTTTTTTGTTTTTTGTGTTATGTTTTGAAATTTTGCAATTTTTTTTTTAATTTTTTTTGACTCGAAAGGCTTTCAAACAACCTCCAGGAGGTTGTTTGAGGACCAGGAAAATGGCTTGTGTCTTATGAATTCCTCATACAGGCCTTACGGGATGCTCATACAGCCCTTACGGGATGCTCATACAGCCCTTACGGGCTGTATCAGCATCCCTGGCAATACAGGCTACAACAGTTGGTTTGGCCGACTGGCTAGGCCTGTCCTGTTGTAGCCTGCTCCTTCCTCCAACCGCCTGTAGGGTTGATCACCGCACATACTTGCTGCGATGAACCCAGGATATCCGCCAGGGCATCACCCACTTGTCCAAGGGTCCACTCACCCGCTTGAGCCGCACGATCAAGACGCTTTTCGACCACTGTACAACCACGTCATCTGCCCTCATCCCTCCCCTGCCAACGATTGGAGCCAATTGGCCCAGGATCACGAATCCGAGCACCACGTCGCCAGTACACCCACGGCTTACATCAACAGATTCACCAATCCGAGCTCCACATTGCCAGCAACACCCGCGGCTCACATCCACTTGGCTACGGCACAACGGCCCAGATTAACCAAGGAGCAGGAGGGCGATCAATTGTGAACCACCAGCAATCAGAACTCTGTCCGTCCCGATCGGCATTCCCCATCTCCGCCGGTCAAGGAAGTTTGTATCCGGACGGTGTGGGATACTTTATGGGTTCCCATCCAACAACTTCAAAAATCTTATATTTTCTTGTATATACAATAATATTACACCAAATATGGCTCCAGGAAGGGATTCCAGGGCCAAAATTACCCTAGAGGAGCAGGCTTGGACACATGTAACCCCCCTGTGTTACATGTTACACCCCTCTTTCACTCACAGGGAGGGGGGTCAAGCACCCTTACATGTTACAAGGGTATCAGGTACACATGCCACCCCTCCGGGCCATGTGATCTGGCATCTGTACATCTCAATCAAGTACAATGGAAGTATGCAGGCACAGCATACAGGTTACCTTGGCAACCTGTCATGCGATGCGTACAGCCTCAAATACAGGATGACATCATGCGGCTTACAGAACACAGCCTGCAGGTTGCTAGGTTGCATAGCAACTGTTGCACAGCTTGTCAATCCGACGGAAACCACTCAACTTCTCCAATCACATCGTGTAGGCTGTACCACCAACCGAAAACCCCTCATGTATTTTCCCATCTTGGGCCAAATCCCTCATGTAAGGCTGTACAACCAGCCAAAATCCCTCATTCCTGGCTCCCCTGGAGCCCAAAATACCTCATTGTTGTCTATATAAGGGAGGCCCTTCCTCCCAGTTGTAATTGCTCCCCAGCAGACTTCCTGCAGACATTTCCCCACATAACAGGCAAATCACTGCTCACTCCATAATATTATTTGTTCCCCAATATTTTGGTTTTACAATTTATAACAACCCTTACATACAATATTATAACATCTTTACACATAACAACAACCCATTTTTTGCACCTGTCCACCTGTTAAACAACAGAGTATCTTTTGATACACTCCACTATCACTAATTAAAAGCTGCCAATCTAAGATTGGTGGTCTTGTTTAGTGTAGTACACAGGAAAGGCAGAGGTTACCTCACACATCCCTTTCCGAACTCAGCAAAAGGTTCTCACAAACACTTTTGAGCTTAACAACGGCGCCACTCACGGCCTGGCTGTGCACAACCACAGGGCTGATAACCCCTTGGGCCAAGGCACTCTCACAACACGACCACCTCACCTCGCAACGGCGGGTCCAGTGCACGCGGGATCACGCTCCGGGGCTGGCGAGGTATCACCCTTGGTCTCCTATCATCAGACTTCACCACACGACTACCCTGCCGGCTCGGTTACCTGTGTGATTCCTTCAGCCCCCCTGCACCAAGTTCTACCGGTCAACGATCAACGGCCGCCTATTCCTATTCAGCCTCCTGCGGACATCCCGATACCTTCCCCCGGTGGATCCTCCGTCCCGAGCACCATTCTGGCTAACGGCGGTGTACGTACTCGGAAGCCCACACGTACGGCTGAGGAGATGCGATTGGCCGACCTCATTGCGGCCGAGAAACACGCGCGTAGGTTTCAGAACCAAGCTGATAAGGCCGCGGATGCTCGTCAGAAGCAGGCTACCATTGCAGCAAACAAGATCCTCAAGGCTCAGAAGGCCGCGTTGACAAACCCTTGGGTGACCTGGACAGAGGAACAGATGATCGAGCTGTTGAATTTCGTGAGGATGGTCAAAGAGGACCATAGTCAGGTGACAGGCGGTTTTATACCGTTTGGGAAGTACTTCGCGGCTTATACTGGCCGTCCAGAGGCATTCCCCCTGCTGCAATCCTTTTTGACGGCGACCCGTCTGTCCAAATATCATGCGCTGATGGATAAGTGGAAGGTCAGTTTTGGGCTGGGGATATCTTCAGATAGATAGGGGTTTCATGGCTGACATGGTTGTTTTCTCAGAAAGTAAAAGACGTTGTGGACCGGTCTGGGGCGGGCGGTTTATCATCGGCTTTGGAAGCAGGCGGTGTTTCCCAAGAGGTATGCTGGGGACTCATTGATCAGACGGTGTCCTCATTCGCTGACCCTTTGCTTAGGTTTGGGACTTGATCCTCGATATGCACGGGGATAACCCGGCAGCGACCGGTGAGGGGTTATCTAGTTCGTATGCCGATTATGAAACCCTGCTGGAAGAATCACCCCCATCGGTCAGTTCTGGCGACTCTGGGTCATCGGACGTCAATGAGCCCAATAGCCTCCCCACGACGCCTGCCCCCCGGAAGAAGAGGCTCACCAAGTACCAACGGCTATCAGCCGCCCTGACACCAGCCGAACTTGCCTTGGATCCCGACTCGGGTTCTGATACAGACCTACCTGCAGAGCTTGTTTTGGCCCCCCCTGGGTCCTCGACCGGTTCAGCCGCGCTGCAGGGGACCGTCCCCACGGCTGTTGTGGGGGGCTCAGTTGCCAACATCCCTGGGAGTCCAGCCACAACCCCTTCGGTCCCCCGCAAGGGGACCAAGATCAAGGTCAAATCGGCGGCGGCGAAACAGTTGATCAGCCGTCCTCCAGCCAAAGGCTCTAGTATTCCTCAACAACGTGGGCGCACCGAGGAGAAGATTCCCGATGGTGCCTCTGGGACCGGAATGCTTGTCATGATGCAGAAGGCCCAGGAGGCGACAGCCTCATGGGCCGCCGAGGAACGTCGTGATGCCCTGGTTGAGCGAGCCCGACAGGACGCCCTTTGCGGGGAGGAGCGAGCCGATAGGCAGCGGTTGGAGGACGCCCGAGCGGACGAGCGGGCGGCGGAGCTGAAGCGTCAAGATCAATTACGAGCGGATGACAGGCGTGCCGCGGAGAAGAGGGCGGATGCCATGGAGGTTGCGCGCCGGCAAGAAATGCAAGAGGCCAAGGAGGACCGGGAGCTGCTGCGTCAACAGGCAAAACTCGACCGTGAGGTGGCCGATCATCAGATGAAGATGGAACGGGAGGCGGCCCAGGCCAGGGCGGCAGAGGCGGCAGAGGATCGGAAGCGTGAGCGGCAGCGGGATTTGGAGCAGAAAGCCGAAGACAAGAAGGAGGCGCAGGAGCACGAGGATCGGGCCGAGAGACAGCAGCAGTCACGGCAATTGTTTGAGCTGGCGATGCTCAAGGCCTTGGGCTTTGCGGTGGCGAATCCGGATGATGCACCTCCTGCTGGTGGGGCTGGCTCAAGTAGAAAGATGAAGCGGGCTAAGATTGTAGTGGTCATTGTTTCCTAGACCTTTGGATAATGTCCTTGCGGACCCGGGAAATGATGACTCATTTTGATATCTTATCTTGTTGTCCTTGCACACCAACACAATTTTTTCTATTCATGTTCCTGCCTCTCCTCTCTCTCCCATTCCTTTTGATCTTGTCCTGGTCCCCCCCCCACCCCCCGCCACCAAGGGGTGTGTGGTTTATTTGACAAGAAAATCAAAGGTTGATTGCATCTGCACCGGTGAATGGATTTCTCAGATGAAAGAGAAAAAATTGATCATCCAATTGTGTCAAATACAATGACCTTGGTCAAAGACCAATCAAGCCCTCGAGGTTACAACTAGCGCCAAGCAGGCCTTGCAATGACCGGTCTAACCGTTGGTTATTTCCCGAGCAGAGGTGGGCCCTGGCCCCACTTCCATGAACTCGTCGAGATGATCCCAGTGGTGGCAAATTTGCCTAAGTCGGGCTGGTGTTCATACACGGCACTGCATTAGTGATCAGCGGTCACAATCGACGTTATAGTGTATGACAACCGCCGGCAGCTGACCTTGTATGTAAGGATGATCACGAGAACAATCGCCCAAAGCCGACGGGTCACCATTCTTGGTCAGGAAGTGTGACCCAGCGTTGTAGCTCATTTGAAGGTAGCTGAGCATCACATTGGCATCTGAGAGAACGGACACATCAGACCCGTGGAAGCACTGGAGATGATCCCTATGGGGCTTACCAGACCGAGTGTGATGGTGTATGCCGTGCTTAGCAAATTCAGCTAGGAGATCCCGATAGAACAATGTCTTGTTTTGACCTCCTTGCCATCGGGTATAATGATCGCCGCCCTTGAGCCAATTGAATAATACCAACAGGCTGTCGGGTCCACCTGGTCGTCCGTCGTTTGCCCAAGGGGTCCGTCTGGTTGAAGTGGTCATGACTGAGTGGTGGATGATTGCCGCGTTCCTTGAACAGCCGTCATCAGTTGGGGATGATCTTTTTGAGACAAGAAGTCTCAAGAAGATCATAACCCTACTCTGGTGATGCAACCAACAAGCACATAAAAACCTCAGTTGTATCGCCCCCCCCCCGTCCTCTGGTGGCAGTCAGAACGAAAAGTAGGCGACCAGATGTCCGATCACAACCACACACTTGATAGTCCTATTCCAGACACGGACGCACTTACCATTACGAGAATTTACGGAATGGTCGACCAACACCGCCTATCTTCCGGCGGACTGCCCAACGCACCGAACCATGAGCCGTCAAACCTATGGATCCGGCGCACACCCAACGGGCCTCATGTGCCTCCCATCAATCAAGTAAGAATTCATCCTAATTATCACGTGCAGGAGCCCGAGTGACACAGAATCTAACCCCATCCCATGAGGACACATCAGGCCAAGCGTGGGGCGAGTCCTACATCCAATGACTGCAAGCCCAACGTCAGACCCAAGAATGTTGCCCCCGATCCGGCCCAGGCAGCTCGCAGCCAACTAACAACCACCGTTGACGAGGAAGAACTGAATGAACCAGGCCAGTCAGGTGGCCCCGGGTCCCATACCGACACCCCAACCCAACAGGATCCCACCAGCCCAACCTCCCATACGAATGGCCCCGCCGCAAGCCCATGTGCCTATCGGCGCCGAGCTTGAAGACTTCCTCTTGCGCAGCGGCATCCAGCCCAACGACCGCCACACTCGGGAAATCTTAGTGCAACATCGGATCTCCCAGTGGGAGCATTTCCTCCTATCAGATGAGGCAGAACTGATGGCCCTCGGCCTCACTGTTGGGAGTTCCCGAGGCCTCTGCCAGTCCGCGTCAAGAATGAGGGGCCACTGAACCATTGTAACGAAGTTTGAATTGCAAAGATGATACATTGCAATGATATGCCCGGATAGATCCTATCACATGAGCCATGGGATGAGCTAGCAGGCCTAGCGCCTATACATGTCCCTGATCCTATCCCTCCTGGTCCACATTGATTCCCCAGGCGGTGGGGGGGTCTGATCATGTTCATTGAGCCTGGGCAGTTCTCCGAAGCGTAACTCGTGTCGTGATCGTTCGTCCCAACCTTGCAAGTATAGTGTGCCGCGTTTGTTGAGTAGGTTGTGTAGAATCATGCAAACAAACGCTGTGTTTCTCGCGCGCACCGGGTTAGCCTTTTGAGCGGTGAGAAGGATGCGGAACCGGTTTTTCAGTCGACCGAATGTCTGTTCTACAATGATCCTTGTGGCCGATTGAATGTGGTTGAAGTGCACGTTTTCAGGTGCCACCACCGAAGGGTATGGGACGAGCACATTTACATCCGAAGGGTAGCCCGCATCGCCAATGAGATGCGTCCCCGGTGGGATCCTCATTTCTCGGCCCAATGCATTGTTCAAACTAATCCCGAGATCGGACCGGCGGAACACCCGGGTATCATGAATGGAGCCCGCGCCGCCGCCAAATACCTGCCCCACCGTCCAGACCCGTTCGTCAGACATCAGTGCATGTAGGAGTTGTGAAGAGGTGGATTGTATGTAGGAGTTGTGAAGAGGTGGATCACATACATCACGGAAGTTGCCATCACCATTGACCACGCACTGGAACACCAAGGAAGCCCAGTTCTTCCGATTAATGTAACCCTTCCACTCATCCGAAGGTGGAATGGCCAACGGGATGTGAGTCCCATCGATAGCCCCTACGATGTCCGGAATGCCATGTCGCCATTCAAACAACTCGATGATCTCGTCCCATTTGTCGTGTGCATCTAACCCCGGAAAGCTGCAAACCGATGGTGTCAGCTGTCGGAATTCTCAACAGTAGTGCAATTGCATTAACCGATAGTCTTTGCTGGGTCTTACCTGATTGTCTGCAGCCTCAGGACCTTGAGAACCGCTTGGACAAAGTGACCGGTCGCTTTGTCTGCCGTTTCCTTCCCAATATTGAAAACGTGTGAAATCATCACGTAAGTTGCGCCATGGCCTAAACGATAGAGCCCCACCGCCACCTGAGCCTCAACGGATAATGGAGCACCCCGGCGGAGGGGATCCTGTTGCAATGTCTCGCGCAGCTCATCACTTAGCCATGCAAAATCGGCCCTCGACATTCGGAAATACTCAATGAACCGCACGAGAGGAAGCCGGTCGTCGTTCCAAGGCTCCCAGCGCTCGGGGCGGACAAACGCCGTGCGGTCGGCTCGGACATAGATTTGCTGATCGAGGGCTTGCTGGTGTCGGTTCCACATCCACAGGGCCGCGATTTGGTTGAGGGTGGTGGGGTCAATCGGTGGAGGCAGCATGAGGGCCGTAGTATGCAGAGGTTCAGGCTGATACAGGCCGGCTGCCCACGGATTGGAAAAAAAAAATTCTTACATAGCCTGAAATCGCGCCCGCGCGTTTATAATTCCAGCTTGTTTGAAACATTTTTGGATTGTTTTTCATTATCAGTTGAGTTTACAAACGTACAAAATTACAAAATCAAAAAAAAAATAAAAAAAATCTGAAAAAAAAACAAAAAACGTTTATGATTGCTGCCTAAAGCCCCCCAATCAATCAACAACAACAAACTAACAAGGATCATTTTCTTTTCTAATCTTTTTCTATCTATTCTACTTCCTATCAAAACAGATTGTGTCTTGTATTGTGTCCTTCATCTGAAAAACCAATCCACCCATAACTTCTCTGCATTACGCAGGTATGAACCGTCTCTACATTAATCAAAAATTGTTTTTCTCACTTGTTCTTTCCCTCATCATATCTGACCGATCTTTATATTTTTTCTATATATATTTTTCACATTATCTAGGTGTGTCTCATAGTGTGCTGGTGAAAAAGTTGTCTTGTTGTTGTTGTCATTAAAACTAAATCAAAACAAAACCAATAGGTTTGCTAGTTTTTTTCTCTTCTTTTCTTTCTAAATCTTTATCTCATTCTCTATCAAAAATCTTGTTTCATGTTTTTCTTTCCTCGCCTTTTCTACACAAAATTATAACACCAAAAAGTGAAGTAAAGACTGATCATGTCTTGTATTGCGTCCTTCATCCAAAAACCCAATCCACCCATAACTTCTCTCAGCAATGGGCAGATACGTTACCCAAACGGATAACATTGACTGTAACGTAACCTTTACAGTTACGTTAACCACAAGTTACAGATATCTTTATTTCAGTTACAATATCTGCTGGAGCAAAAGGCCCCTTTTTTTGCTAGTTACGTTCCCAGAAATTCTGAACAAAACAGGGTTACGTTACAGAATTACCAATAACTGGATAACTTAAGGGTAACTTTGCTGGTGATACAGTTGCGGATGGCAAAAACCGACCATGCCCCGCCCGCAAAATCGAAAATTGATACGCGGGGTCTATGCCCGGGGGGGCATGTACCCCAATACTTATTTTTATTACAATTTTGAACTCCTACAGATCTGTAGAGTTCAAAATTGTAACCGCTAAGCTTTTACTGTAGCGGTTCTTTTTTTTTATTTGTGTGACATACATGTATCCGGACATGCATACCAAAAGCCATACTTAAACCCATAAATATGGGTTTAAGTTAGGCTTATTCATGGCTCATACCCCTTCAAGCACCTGTAGCATCAACTTGGAGTGTTTATTCAATACTCTGAGCCATTTTTTTATCACTCTTAGGCCTCAAAAGGGCTTCAAAACCATGTAAATTCCGAATAAAAATCTGATTTTTCAGCGGAAATATTCAGACACCCTCCAAATCCAGGGTCGGTTTTTGCCATCCGCAACTGTACACTGATTCTTGATGGTTTTGTTCATTAAGTGTGAGATAATTTGCCCAATATGATCATAAACCAACCAGCGATTATCATTTCACCAGTAAGCCAGGTCAAAAGAAGTCTGGTCTGAGGATTGAACCCACAACCTCCACATATTCACTGTACATGTGAGGCACACTTTGACCGTTAAGCTATATGCAATATGTTTTAGCCCTTCAACCTCTCATAACACCCCTCCCCCCAAGTAAGTTACGTTACCCCAAAAAAATATATGGAAAAAATAAAATTGGTTACGTTACTTTACTTTACAAGCAAATTTAGTTACTTTACAAAAACAGCAGATTTGGATAACTAAAAAAAAGTTACGTTCTCCAAATCCCCTGCTGTAACGTACCGTAACGTATCTGCCCACCGCTGCTTCTCTGCATTACACAGGTGTGTCTCATAGTGTGCTGGTGAAAAAGTTGTCTCGTTGTTGTTGTCATTAAAACTAAATCAAAACAAAACCAATAGGTGTGTCTCATAGTGTGCTGGTGAAAAAGTCGTCTTGTCGTTGTTGTCATTAAAACTAAATCAAAACAAAACCAACAGTTTTCACATTATCTAGCGTTCACTCCTTGGATTCAATCAATTATTACACCTGAACCCCCGTGTTCAGGACTCGAGACAGGCCCCACAAAGACCCCAAAACCCCGGGGCCTTTAGGTATGGTGTTGAGAAGTAGTGGATGACTTCTTGAAGTTCACCACGTCAACATCTGCGGGTCTCCCAGTTTTGATTTAGAGCCGCAAAAGCTAGATTTCCCTGCAAAAATCTAGACTTTTTGGGTCTAAATCAAATACTGTGAGGGTCCCAGATCCAACGGGAAGTCCTCCAGCTGATTGGATTTTTTCTTGCTCAGACATGTATTGCAAGTTTTTTTTTGTGTATGTGTATTCTTGAGAAGCAAAAAGAGAAAAGAAAAACAATAACAATTCATGATTTCATCAAGGGTTGGGCTTGTTGGAACCGGCTCCGCTATCTTGACAATGTGTTGATGTCATTTATTTACCACCTTTGACCGGCAGGCTGATTTTCAGGTTATTCCCGCTTCATTAACGCAAATCAGAGTCTGGTAGATGCTTCCGCCACATGTATGTACAGTCTCCTCCCATATGTTTATAGCCATCTGCTTTGAGCTCCACATCAGGAACCCAAAAACATCAAGTCACAAGACTTTGTGGAATGGTGGAAAATAGGTTTCAAAGAATGAATATGAAAAAATAATAATAAAAATCAAGATTTTAAAATTTGGGAAAAAGATAAAAGAAAATCAACTTTTTTTTTGAAAACTTTAATTTTTTGCTTGAGTCAAAAGTGAACACACAGAGGGAAAGTTTGGAACATGAAAAGAATGATTATAAATGAAAAATACTGATCTCAAAAAAGTTTGAGCATGGTGGGTGGACACCCTGAAGTCAAAATTAGTAGGTTGCAGTACCAGAATGCCACATTTCTTGATGAATGACCCCCTGGGCCTAGGCACCCTTTTTAAACCACCAAGTAGTCATTTTTTTCCTCCAAATTTTCACTTGTTATTATTCATACCAGATCTCATACTATCACTTTGGAGATTTCATCTTTTCCTGAAAGAAATATTAGAGCTGTCAGTTTTTGTGATTTTCTCCTTTTTACTTTTTACAAATTTTATGATCTTGTTTATCATTATTGTTTTTGCATATTCATTTTTTGAGACCCATTCTCCACCATTTCACCAACTATTGTGACTTGAAATTTTTGTTTTCCTGGACTCTGCGACCGAGAGGAATCCCTCTTGGCCACTGAGAGTGTACAACTCTTGCCAGCAAGAGGGATCTCTCGGCTGCTGAGAGTGTACAACTCTTGCCGGCCGAGAGGGATCTCTCGGCTGCTGAGAGTGTACACTCTCTGCAACCAAGAGGAATCCCTCTCAGCCGCCGAGAGTTGTGCACTCCCAGCAGCCAAGAGGAATACCTCTTGGCCGTTAAGAGCATACACTCTCAGCGGCCAAGAGGAATACCTCTTGGCCGTTAAGAGCATACACTCTCAGCAGCCAAGAGTAATACCTCTTGGCCGTGGTGGCGACGGGAGCGCGCCTCGGCCAAAGCTTTGGCCGGTTTGTTTGGGGGCGTGCGGAATGCTCACAGATGATGCGGAAAGCACACGGAGCTGACGCTACGCAAGCAGGCTGAGGAAAGCGGCGGTGCATTAGTGGAAAGTCTAGCTTTCCAAGGCGCCGGAAAGCGGGGAAAAGTAGATCAAATGCGCAAGGTTCTGAAAAGCTTGCTGCGGGGGAATCCGGGCATCGGCGGACACCGGGGTTCACGGCCGACTGCGGAACGGGGGTTCAGCGTATACTGCGGAGGGGCTACAAGGAGCGGGGAGCACCGAGGGGCGGAAGCAGGGTTCGGAGCGAACCAGAGGCGGAAGCGGCGGTGGGAGACCTGCTTATGAGCGGCCGGAGGAGTACCTGGACCGACAGGCGTCGGAGGGGTGACATGCGGAGTCCGAGGGGGTGACAGCGGATGACATTGTGGGAAGCAGGGAGGAACTGGAGTGTGGGATACTTGGGAGGAGGGGAGTTCGGAACAGAAGAGGGGAGAGGGGGGAGGACTTGGGACTCAGAACATATCAGAAAAACAGATTGACTTAGGAGTGAATCGTGTATTAGCCTAAAGAATTGTTAGAGATAGAATAGAGTTAGAGTATTACCTACCAAAGACAAACAAAGAGTGTTATTTTACCTACCTACAACACCATCAAGCAAGTTACCCTGGACAACAAACCTGAGTCAGACGCGTTGCGGAGCGGAGAAGTACAAGAAATCCCCTAGGGCGCGCCTTCCTTTCCACAAATTGGGGGTCTGGCCGGGAAACAACTTCCTTGGTCGAACGGTACGAAGAATAGTGGATGAGCTTTCCGGGACAGTTTTTCAACCGGCGTACCACAACATCGAAAACGAGTGAGCGTGGAACGATTCTTCTGATTCCTCCGATAGTGACGGAAGCGGGAGTACGGTTACTGAAAGAGTCCGGGAAAATCAACCAAGCACGGAAGATAAGGGAAAACAACGGGCCGAGACTTTGGGCGACCTGATTGCCGAGGGACGTAATTTGGTGGAGCAAGTCCAGAAGAACGGATACGCGGGAACAGAAGTGGCGGAAAAGGTTGAACTTTTCGAAGGACAGGCTTCTGTATTGAGCAAAAAGGTCGGAACGTACGGAGTACCAAGCGAAGGTTCCGAGGAAAGGATGAACGTGGATGACCCAACGCCGCCGCGGTCCCTGGGTCCGCTGAAGGCGAAGATACGTCCGAAGGACTATCCAAACATTCGGCTCAGTACTACCGAAGTGTCGAGGTTCCTGGAGCGTTTTGAGGCTGCAGCAGACGGGGAGGGACCGGAGGATTCGGATAAGGTCCGGCAGGTGGTCAACTTTATCCAGGATGAAGAAGCGTTGCGGGACGTGGAATATATGGGTGGGTACAAGAAGAAGGATTGGGCGGAGCTGAAGAAGGAGATGCTGGAGAAGTGGGGGC